CCATTTCAAAAATTATAAACTTAGATAAGTTATCTAATTATCAGTTTAATTAAATTTGAGAAAGTACATAATTTTGAGACTAATCAAGAAAGAAATACGTCCAATTTTAGCGAAAAAAAAACAATTCACTTTTTATAAACCATTCATTTATTAATATTAAAATAACCTATTTTCACTGAAAAACTGTTAGTTCACATTAAGCTAAGATATATTTCTAATAATCTTATGTCATCTACATCTTAAAATATGTAGATTAATAATAAAGAGGCAAAATGTGATATTACACTAAAAATAAATTAACATTCAAATAAGATGTATTACAAAACTATGAACTTATTATTAGTTACTTTTCACAATATATATGCTAGGCAATATCCAAAACTAGGATTAGTTCATGGCAAACGATATTTATTTAGTCCAAATAAATCCTTTTTTCAGTGTAAAGTATACATATTAAGAATAAAGGAAGCCTTTGGAAAGTTAGTTTATTTTAGAGCATATTTATTCTAAAACGATTTGTCACATAATCTAGTTTAGTAATTGTATAAAGGTTATCCGCATTTTTTATTACCCTTCTGCCTAGCTCTAAATCTGTAATATTTAGATTACGCCAATGTCTTTTTACCTCGAATGTTAAATGCGGTTAATTAAGAAAGTGACGCAGGGGGCTTCTTGGAAGTCTATCTCAACAAATATCGTATGGACTGTACGTATTTGTATAACTCATATCATAACTCTCTTGTTTCAGTTATAAATTTGGCTTCTATTGGATAGATTTTGAAGATAACTTCATATTATACAAGAAAGATTCTCTAGCTTTTTATCGACAAGTTGCTCGCACTTTAATCATACCCGAAGAAATAACTACTACGACAACTAACTGATGTTACAACCGTTCTTGACCCAGTTACCACTCCTGGTGATGCCCCAAAGAATGTTTTGTGCTATTCATTATTATTAACTATAGTATTTTTTTCTCAAATATTATTGTAAATCAATACGAGTAACTATATTTTGCTTGAAATCTAGATACTGTAGTGTTTTTCGTTAGCCTTGGTTTTAAACAATTTAATTGTATTAAAAAAATATATACAATCATGATTGAATATAAATATGAATTTTGACATACAAACAAAGGTAGGTATAAAAAGCATATAGAAGATCTCACCAATGAGATTTAATCTTTGAATATCTGCCAAAGGAGAATTGAATATGTCTCCTTGACACAACCAGGTCTGTCCAACACATTGCCACTCAATTTGTAGCGAAATCGAATAGAATTAGTTTTATTGAAAAAAGACGGCAATTAGAAACACTTGAAAAGAGATCGGTACTATGGGCAAAGTCAAATGTGCTGAAATTTTTAGTCAGATAGAGACTTGACAGTAGCACAGATCTTCAAATCGACATCATATAGCAAAAAGTGGATATTATTCGCGATATCTCTGATGAAACGTAGAGAAATATAAAAAAAACGTGAGGGAAGTATGGAACTATTACTTATTTATTGTTTTTATGTAAATTTGTGCGATAGATGTATAATTAAGTTAAGTATTTAAATATTGAATAAATCTTTCTTTTAATAAAATGGGTTCTACTGATACTCGTTCTGTTTTAATAAATTTATCTGTCTTTACAAATCTCAAATAGTTTACTAGTTGGATACACATTAAATTGGCATTTTGTATGAGTATCTGGTTATTATTTATTTTGTAAGAATATGACAGGGGACAAAGTTTAAGAAGGATCCTACCTTTTTTTTGATCAGAAAAAATCCCTATACAGTTAGTCACGAATATAAGCAGTTAACATTTATTATTTCATTTCGGTAACTACTGATTGTATGAAATCCTGACAAGGTGTATGTTAATATGTTGTGCTGGATGTTCAATAAAAGACATTACAAATTTAATGGATATCTCTGAAACATTTTCTTGTTTTTCTAAAAATTGTTGGAAAACTACGAACTACTTTCCTAAAGTATTATCGATTTAGATATTTGCTCGTCAGTAGGAAAGAGAAAAAGTACAAAATATACTATGTATAACTCTGTAAAATTTTCAAATTTGAAACATCAGTATCGTATTTTGATTTTTGTAACACTAATATAGGGTGATTCACAACTTATCCAAAAAAAAAAATTGGGGATAGAGGCGGCATGAGGCATGAAGTCAATACCGTAATAGTATATTACGTAATAAGTGTTGTAAAAAGCATTTTACGCACGAATGGAACAGTAGCGGCGAGTGCGTAATTCTATGAGTGCGTAATTGCATTATACCACGTATTACGTATTATACTTTACCTACGACCACTACTGTAAATACTTAAAAACACACCGTCTGCGATCAACGTAAGATTCCTATTTTACGTACGGTAAAAAAATCGCACAGCTTGGTAAAAAAATCGTACAGTTTTCCTAGCTACCGCCTTTGCTAGGAAAACTGTGCGATTTTTTTACCGTTTAAGTATTTACAGTAGTGGTCGTAGGTATAAAAAATTGTAAAATACTTATAGTTCCGAGAAAAAAATTATTGAAGTTGTAGTATTTTCAACCGTTACATAGCTGGACAACTGTAGTCTCTAGCGTCATTCGCAATACGCGTAAGACCCACGTGGCCTCAGCGACTCCGAATACTGAAATCCGATTTTACAATCGTCGTGGCGATAATGTTTACAATAGTTTTTTAGTAGTTAGTGTCAAAAATGGCTTGCATGTACAACAACTCAAAGTTGATGGATATAGTTTTAATTTATGGTGAAGCAAGACAACATTTGTATTATAATGAAGCATTTGTGTTATGGTGAAGCAAGATAACATTTGTGTTAGTTTGTAGAAACTGCGTAAGACGGACCCATATGTGTTTACACGTCCGTGGACAAAATTTTGATCAGTTGCTGTAACATCAGGTATGTCAAATTATTTTATTATTTAAAACTACAACTTAATTAATAATAGCGGCAAAAGCAGTTGATCTTGCTGATATAAAATAGGTGCTATAAAATTCTATTTACATATTTCTTTCCTTGCGAAATTCTTTCAAGTTTTTGTCCGTTCTTATCGCCATGCCGGGCGCATTGTGCGAGGTCTGGTTTTATAATGTAGTTTCCAGTGTCGTACAGAAGTATATTTTTAAATCATTTTCGAACTACTCTTTTTTGATTTTTTCTTTACAAAATTGTATTTCTAAGTCCCCTATACATTCAAAAAAATTATTTTTAATTCTGAAGTTCTGAATCACCCTGTATAAAGGAACAATTAAAGGCATCTTCTAAATAACAGCAAAGCTGTAACCATTCTGATAATAAATTTAGATAGAACAAGGAATTGGTTATATTACTAAACTAGCCGATTTACTGATTTTAACATTGGTTAAATAAATCATTTGATTGCAATTAGCTGATATTTCGAGGCTAGTCTCGATCTAGACTAGAATTTCATTAAATGAAACTGTCTGTGTTACTAATGAAACTGGATTTTCCAATAAAACTGTTTATGATGCCCATTTCCGATCCTGGTCGGTATATTTTCTAGTCGGTCGTAAAAAAATATATTTGTCGTATTGTTTAGAAATCTTTTATAGTAATCTGACAAATATGTGTTAGACTAATTTATAAGTAATTGTTACAACCTTTAGATTTGAAACTACAAGAATCGAAGGAGTTAGTGTTTAAATATTGCATAAATCTTTTTTAATAAAATTTGTGCAGATATACAACTCCTTTTGGTATCATCATCTTTTATTTTTTTTAAATTTACAGGTTTTCAAGTATTCTCTAGCAAACTTTTTCTTTTACCAGGAGTACATTCAGATTAGTCGTTATTAGAGACATATTATTTTCATTCTCATAAACTATATAAAATATAATATATCCTAGCGTTAGCCACTATACAGGTTGTTGCTAATTATGTATATCTAGTTATAGAACACTTCAAAATACGAAAAAAAGTTCATGTAATCGTAGTTCGTAGAACACTTCGTTTTAGAGATACCGGAGTCCTGAAATTAAAAAGAGAATCATATTTCGCAAAATGTCTGATATAAGTTGATAAAACTTGGAGTATTGACTAAATTAAATTACAAGCAAATAAAAATTCGTCGAGCCGCTACACTTTGTCAGCCATAGTGAAGATGCCCTTTATTTTGGCACCACTGAATATTTCGTGAATTTAATTAAAGTTATTGTGTTTTTAAAAAAGTATGTCTTCTTTTTTGTTTGATTAACGAACCATTTTTAATTTGGCAACTGTTTCTTTGTATATAACAAAATGCTTAAGAGATTAGTGGGTAAACAGAAAATTTATACATCAGTATTTTGATATTTCATCTTTTCATCTTGTTATTAGCAGACGAATATGATTAGTGTATAATGAAGTACAATGGTACTGAACCTTGCAGCAAAATATTTTTAAATTAAAGAGATATGAAAGTGCAAGTTTTCTATTATCAGATTGTTAGACTTCATCTTTTAGTAATTCTGAATATTGTAAGAAGGCTAATAGAGTAGATACATATACAGAATGTAATTATTTCTGGGAAATGGCTTATGCTATGCTATCAATAATCCTAATAACAGTTAGTTTATGCTTGTTAGTAAATCAAATCTGAATATGTATTAATTTTAACAACAGAAGTGTAGCAACTTTTAATTAAATCACCAAAAGACAATTTATTTGAAAGTCTACTTTGTTTCAGAATAATTTGATTTGGTAGATATAAAAGTTTATGGAAATTAGATTAATTTAAGTTACCCAACGATTTTCTTAAAGTAATTATCGTGGTACAAATATTGCGGTTAATTTATTTACCTCAACTGGACCGGTATAAAATTCAAAATAACTTTTTTTTCTGTGAAACCTGGCTTCCTAAAATCTAATCAATAAATCAACATTAGCCAAAGTAGGTAATCGATAAATCAATGATACCTATGTTACATTTAAACAATCAAGATAAAACGTTATATAAATACTTATTATGATACTCAATTTCATCAACTAACGACAATTTCTGTTGCATTTACACTCGGATTTGTAAATGGATAAAATTAACGCTGTCATATACATTGTACTGGTGGTTTGGTATGTCTCATTTTTTATATTTATAAGTATAAGTACCTATATAATTTCTTAACGAATTTAGGTTATGTGTTGTTACTTTTTATATTTTAGATTTATAGGTAATCTGTGTGATAACTAATACCTGTAGGATAAACTTAGATTTAGTAAATACCGCTAATACCTAATATACAGGTTGTCACGGTACTTGATACAAAAAGTCGAGTACGAATAGATGAGGTCAAAATAATATCAGTTATTCATATAAATTTTTTTCATATGGGCCTTCGTTAACAAGTTACGGACCCTCACATTTGAAAATTAAAAAGTTATTTTTATTTGCAGAGTCTAAACTATTAACTTCAGTATGATGTAAATTTGGTGATCGATGACACATGCGTACAACTTGTTTTTGATGTTGTATGTGAAACTTTATTAGACTTGTTGACGTTTCGAACAACAAAAGAGGTCTGTTTAGAAAATAATCGATCTTTTTGAATTACGTGTAACATGTTCTTGGATTGTTAATGTCTCATTTAGACAAGGCGAAAACCTCGCATTCGTGGGAGAAATTTTCCGACTCGATTTTTTTGCATATTCAGATTCGTGAGATGTTCCTTAACATGAATCAAGATGATGCCGGCCGGAAATCTGGTGCTCACTTGTTTAAACAAGCTTTTTTAAAACAAATTGTAAAAATAGGTTTTTCACTCTTTTTTTTAGGTTGTTTAGCACATTATAAACAAATAAGTTGCTATGCACTATGCCTCTAAAATTGACAGTTTTAAGTTATAAACAATTTAAGTTGCTAAAATGCGAAAATGACGATTTTCAACGGCCGATTTCCGGGTTAAAAATTGTTATTTTTGATGCTGTCAGGTACCTAAATTAAAGTATAGACATCCCCCTACAAGATGCTGAAGAGTTTTTAGAACTCTCATTATTCTAAAGCCTTGTTTTTTAATTGTTAATAAAGCGCTATGAGCCGCGCGCGTGCCTCTGTCATACGCGGATTCGCTATTTCGTTTAGCGGCTTCAGCTTATGTTCTGCGAATTTACCATTCTAAGTACTATTACTACTCATAAAATAATGTAAATATTGATTATTTAAATTTCATAATTCATAATAATTTTATTTAATAATTCAAAATTGTAAATAGAGTGCAGAAAAAAAAGAAAAGGGCAATAGTATCAAATACATTTGATTTTTATTAAGGAACATTTATTTAATACTGCATATTATTATTATTATCACACATTTATTCAATCATAAGAATTCTCAAACTGTTCTATGTTACAACCACATAAAGGTATACAAGTGACAGTTTTTCCTACAAGAACAAGCTTTAGTCTTACAGTTTCATGTACATTTACATTGTTTAACTAAGTCTTTGGATAATGGATCTTTGGTAATAAACTTAGGTAATAATTCACCTGTTTCATTTTGATAACCAAAAGTTGTGAAATCCAAATATTGATATTGAGGAAAAATGGAACTTTTCATAGCGCATTATTCACAATTAAAAAACAAGGCTTTAAAATAGTGGAGTCCCAAAAACTCTTCAGCATCTTGTAGGGGATGTTTACACTTTAATTTAGGTACCTGGCAACATCAAAAATAACAATTTTTAACCCGGAAATCGGCCGTTGAAAATCGTCATTTTCGCATTTATAGCAACTTAAATTGTTTATAACTTTAAAACTATAAATTTTAGAGGCATAGTGTATAGGAACTTTTTTGTTTATAATGTGCCAAAAAACCGGAGTGAAAAAATCAAGAGTCAATTGAAGATGATCCTCGACCAGGAAGTTCTTCGACTTCAACTGATGACTCCCACGTTCAGAAAGTCAAAGATCTGATGCCCGCAAATCGACAATTGACTGTCAGAGAAATTGCAGAAGACGTCAGCATCTCAACTGAGTCATGGCATGAAAGAGTGACCGCAAAAACAGCATATTTTTAGCCTATTTTCTCGCCTTTGCCAGAGACCTTAAAAACATCCTAAAAATATTCTGCATGTCAAATTATTGGTAATAAAAAATCAAGATGAGCATATTTTTTAGTTTTTCGAAAAATGTCGAAAATCACCCCTAATTAGGAGTTGATATGATGACGCAAAACTGAAATGTATGAATAATATCAATAAGAATAAAAGCAATTCTTATTGTATTTTTTCTATAAAATAAAATCTTACAAATAGGAAATAATTTATTTTCATGATTAAGGAGGGCGTGATATAGTTGTAAGTCCACCCTTAAATTCGCTAAGGGGCTTAAATCATCCCCTAAATACGGAAAAAATCAAAAATTACTTGAAAAATCTAGGAAAAAGTACTAGGATATTCTAAATTATTAGAAATTCAAATCGTGTACTTCTCACTAGTATCTATAAGAAAACCACCCCTGTAACGAAGGGGTGAACTACCCCCGAACGTGATAACATACGAAAATATCATAGCGGTATTAAAAAACTGTCGAATATTTTATAATAGATCTTACTTTTCTGATCAGAAAGATTAAGCTGACTTGACTTAATTATTCCGAATTTTTTTTTATAAAAATCAACCCTGATAGGGGGTGAAACATAAAAAAATCAAAAAATATTTGAGAAATCTTGATGAAATTAATAATGAAGTTTAAAAAAATAAAGTTAGGTTATTTTCTGAACAGACCTCGTACTTATTGTTTTCTAATTTAGGAGAGATGACGTGGCAACTATCTCGGACGTTATTTAATCATTAACTAATTACTGTCATGGAAACCCAATATAATAATGTTACCCTCATATAGACTTAAATAGAACGTAAAATAAAATGGTTGTGATAGAACAAATTATTTTAAGGAAAACTGATTCATCGATTTATCTAGTTAGAAATGAAAATTCGCTATGTAGCTTTATAACTACGTCAACCAGTAAGAACCTCAGAATTTCGACGTGAGGGTTATGCAAAACCGATTAGTACCAATGACATTTCTAAAATACAGTAAATCTTCCATATTGAAAAACTAGAGGTTTTATAGATATACGGCTCGTTCTTCGAACTAAATAAAAACGACCTTTTTTCTAAAAAATTTACATTTCGAATTCTGAGGCTGTTAGTGCAACTGACATATTGTATTTCAGTCACTAAATGGCATATTTGCAAGTCAATTTACCGAATTTTTATTTCTAATTAGATAAATCAACTAACCGATTTCATCAATCTACGTAAAACATGCTATTTCAGAAAATGATATTTTTTTCCTAATTTTAACACCTTTGTTTCCGGATTAAAAATCTGGACCCCCTTGTATATACTTAAACTGAAAACAGCTACGCTATTCGCTTCCACGGATTAATACTCTTGTTGATACTGTTATAATTGACACTTGATTGTTGCTAGAACCTTACTCAGATCAACTAAATTTACTATACTAATTTCATCTGAGTTATTTGCACATTATTTTTTGTCTATAAAAGCCAGCTTGAAATAAAAACAAGTAAAATTGTGAACTTTAAAAAATGTCGAATTGAAATTAGCAAATTTAAATAAGGTACCTACGTAAAGATGACTGAAGTAATCAAACATTCTTAGAAATGGCCATATTAAATCCATATAAAGAACTCCTGATCACAAAAAGTATCATTTTATTACACTTTTTAATTTTTTTTAAGAATTTATTGCAATACATTCTACAAAAAATATATAGGGTATTAATTAACTTACGTCAAATATTTTTGCCAAAGGTCCGTTATGTCAAAAGGGGGTAAATACACGGATGTGTGTTGAGTAAAATGTAATTTTAAAATTTGACTTATCTCAACATTGCAAGGAACTGCTGATTTTCATAAAAGATGTTCGATGTACCCACCATTTGTTTGAACACAAGCTTCAGCGCGACGTATCCAATTCGCTCGCACGCGTCGTAACATTGCCCCACGTCTTCTCGAATCGTATTACAAGCTTCAGCAATACGATGTAGCAGTTGGTCGAGGTCACGAACTTCTGTGGAATACTCAACACTTTTCACATATCCCCACAAAAAGAATTCTAAAGAGGTGAGGTTCGGGTGCCGGGGGGGGCATCTAACTAGACTGCCGCGGCCTACCCATCGATTGGGCAAAGTAATGTTTACAAAGTCGCGCACTTTCCGAAAAAAATGAACGGGGTCTCCGTCATGCAGTAACCACATATTTTGACGAACATTTAATGGCACGTCTTCCAATAACTCCGGCAAGCGATTTTGCAAATAATCTAGATATGAAGCACCGTCTAAACATCTAGGCAATTCAAAAGGTCCTATTAAAGTATCATTAACGATACCAGCCCACATGTTCACTAAAAACTGTTGCTGAAAGGCACCGCGACGTATTTCGTGTGGATTTTCGATGGTCCAATGGTAAGTGTTGTGGACGTTACGTGCACCATTTCAACTGAAACATGCTTCATCTGTAACAAGTATTTGCGCTGTAAATTGAGGATTTCTTGCATATTCTTGAACCAACCATTTGCAAAAACCTCGATGTAGTGGAAAATCCTTAGGAGTAAGGGCTTGAACACGTTGAATATGAAATGGTTACAACTGAGCTTCTCGTGATGTCTGCCACACAACAGCATGCGAAATATTTACTTGCTGTGCGATATTTCTGGTGCTACGATGCGAATCTTCTTGGACGAGATCTAAAATCATCTCCTTGACATTTAAGATTCTTAGTGGTCACTCTGGGCACCGTCGCGACCTCGACGCGTTTATACTTCACCGGTGTCCAAAACTCTGGACATTTTCGTTTGCTTCGCTATAAATTATGAGCATATAAAATTCGCGATGACTAAATAAATACGCCATTTTCAAAAGAAAATTTGGAAATACGGTTATTAAATGTACTCTAGAAAAATAGCACAGCAATCACTACAACAATGTATTATTCTACCAATTGACTTTCGAATACAGTCCGGTTTCATAAGAAACCTACAAACTCGTCAAAAGTGTTACAGAATTTTTTGTAAGTACTCGCCGCAATAAAATACATGTATTTCAACAGTTCCAAAACAGTTTTAAACTCATTTTTAATTAGTTTTTTTCTCTATGACCTCAAAACTTCCGACACAAGTTTGTGACATAAGTTAACTCAGTTTTTGCTCCTTTTTCGCCCCCTTAAATTTTTGACGTAAGTTCATTGTTTATCCCTCTATATTAGCTACATAATATGAAATTCTTATCATTAAATATATTCTCAACATGTTGGTGCCTATATTTCTCTAATTTACCTTAGAGCATTATTATCAATTAATTCAATTTCCTTATTTTTCCTTCTCGATTCAAATAAAAGCCGTATTCTTAATATGAATAACATAAAGAACTATTATTTCAGTGCTGCAAACGTAGAAAGTACCAGAGTATTCCCAGAAAGATTTTCGTTTGGCACTGGAACGTCCGCTTATCAAACCGAAGGTGCTTGGAACGAAGATGGAAAATCTGAGAACATATGGGATCATTGGATTCACAGTGATCCATCGCACATAAAAAATAATGACACTGCCGATCTCGCTTGTAATACATACCAGTCTCCGTTAGTGGGCATGTATCATTCATTGAAATTACACGTTCAGCATTACCGTTTTTCTTTATCATGGAGCAGGTAAGCCCTATCACTTTCCTGTTAAAAACCCGGTACTCCTAAAAAGTAAGGGTCTGGTAATAATTGTCAATCACCCCTTGCGGAGAAAATTCAATTTATTTCCGTAAATACAACAACATTCTTAAAGTAACCAAAAAGATGGACTTATCAAATATGAAAATATAGAGGACATATTTTCAAAAACCAAATTTACTTGAGTGAGCAAGTGCTGAACTGTTTTATTTACAAGGTAATTCCTAAGTTCTGTCACAGTTTTTATTGTGCGTCAAATTCAATTCTCTTCAAAAAATTTACATTATTAATTTTGAAAACATTTATTCTGACTGTACCTTATATTTAAAGAGAAAATTTAAAGCTATTGCCTGATCCAACGATAAGACTATATTATGCGTAATAGGGAAAAGCTTTCCTCTAATAAAATAATAGAATAATGGTGTACTTAGAAAAATCTTAAAAGGAAGATAAAAAAATATTGTTTCTACAACTGGTAAAATAGGACCAGACAGTAGATTGGGTGAGGCTATAGAAAATAATGTAACATCTTATATTACGTCACAATATTCCATACACATTTCCACAGGTGTAATTTAATGTAGCAGCCATATGAACACCCAGTACATGTACTTTACTATGTTATGTACAGTTCTGAAAGTGTAGGTCTTTAGGAACTAGTGGTAATCATATGAATTCACAGTACTTACGTTTATTGTCTAAATAACAACCTTGAGATGTATACTCTGTAAATATTTTAGCTTAGATACACCACCTGTATATTGTAAACACGTAGTTTGTTAAGGCATATTGGTATAAAAGCATTTATTCCCAACATTGTAACCAACAACAATGTATGTACCTAATTGTAAAATTAACCTTAAAATGTTTGAAATCACACTTGTTGCATAAAACACAGGAGTCATGGAACATAGTCTAAAGAGATATTTGGGAAATGAACCTATGAACACTGAACAAATAGATAGGATATTAAAGAACAATTATGTTTATACAAAGTAGGGATTTTTAATTGTATAAAGTTTTAACCAGTTTAGTACAGAGTGAGAGCCAATCAGAAGGGTATATTTTTTTGAAACTCCAGTTCTTAAAAACTAGAGGCAAGGCCCTGCTTGGCCATTTTCCATTCTGACTCTGGCTGGTGAAAAGTAAGCAGTTTCTAGTGATTTCGAGCTAAAGTAGCCATTTTGTGTAAAATCACGTTGAATCTACATCATCCTACATCGTGAAACGGTAATTATACCAATAATTAAATAGATAAATTCAGATGTTCATAGATATGTACATAGTTTGTAGATAAATTTTAGTAGTGAGTAAGCACGTTTCCCCAAATATCTATTTTAGAACTAATTAGTTTTTTTCCCACGTTGCGTTTTAGAAGCCAGCCAGCTAGTATCACAGCCAGCTAGTATCACATCCAGCTAGTATCACAGCCAGCTAGAATCACAGCCAGCTAGTATCACAGCCAGCTAATAATCAGCTAGTAATAATCAAGGCTATTAACAACCAAAGTAGTCTAGACAACTAGTTCAGACGGCTAGTTTAAACAATTAGTAATAATCAGCTAATAACAATTAGTAATAACCACCTAGTGATAAAGCTAGCAACTGGAACGCAACTTAGGCGACCATGTGATCATTGTAACAAGTCCAGTTTGAGACAGCCTGTATAACCCGAGTGGACTGTAGACCTTCACCATCATCATAGCCACCACGAACTCCGGATGAGAGTGAATAAAAATTTGAGACACCGTAGTGTTCTGTTTTTTTTATAATTTATTGATAAATTGTTCTGTACCCATATTTTGTTCCCATCCCATACCTGCTGGGGTGTCGGGGGAAAGGAGAAACAATTAATTCTTTAGTTAGTAGGTTGGCGTCCAAATTAAAATCTTTAATACTCTTATTTCTCGTTTCTCCCCGAAAACTAAAGACCGATTTGGCAAGAGTCGAGATATCATAACACCAGAAAAAAACAAATGCGGACTACGACCCAACTGCACTCCACCCAATGAGCTGCCGTAAGCTCCTTCAGCTGTTCACAAAAATATTAGAGCTATTGGTGTAACAATAAATTAGTGATACACATAAAAAGGCACAAAAATTATAAGTTTAGTAAAGAAAAATGCCAGTGCCGATTAGTTTAGGTCCGCCTTTGTCAATTCGAAAGACAGAGGGTGTATCACTCGTGAGAAGAAAGAGCTAGAACACATAGATATAGTAAATTATTTGAAACTTTTCAAGTTACACTAGAAACAAATTAATTTTTCAACAAACCTAAAGCCATCTATAATGTCCATGAAACAGACCTATAATTAAATAATCGACCAGGCCATGTTTTAGCCGAAAAAAGAGCAAAAGACATTTTTACCATACTATCGGGGGAAAAGTGATCTCATATATAACCTGCTGCAATGCTCAAGGCTTTGTTGTACCACTAATATGTGTCTTCAAAGGCAAGAATTTGAAGACCCAGTGGACTGACTCAGTGCCTCCTGGATCTAATATTGTGATGTCTCAAAAGTCAGCTTAACTACAACTATTTTATTGGTTTCAATCGAAAACAACTTCCTTCCACACAAAGACGAAAAGAAGACTTTGTTAATTCTTGTTCTTGTGTTGAACTTCTAGAAACTGCTAAAGCAAATAATGTCAGTTTATTGTGCTCACCTCCATAAACCACCCACTATGTGGAATTTTATGATAGGACTTTTTAAGTCATTAAAGAGCTTACTACTAACAAACTCTCAGAGTAAATGCAAAGTCATTCCGGGAGTCATCCATAGGACAACTGCAGTTTGATGAACTCCTAGTAAAATGTTGGGGAATGTGAGCAACCGTTAGAAATGCAACCTCCAGCTTCAGAGCCACAGGAATATTGGAATCTTGATTGCCTACCCTAACATGCTTGCACAGTTTATGATCAAATAATTAGCAAGCAAACGACAGAAGATCATAGAACGCATACCCAAGTAAACTTTCAGCGCACAAATTCCCAAGTAAATAACCCTGAAACAACACAAGAAGCAAATGCTCAACCAGCACAAAATCAAATTTCAAATACTCTGATGGACTCCATGCCATCTTATACAGTAACAGAGGCTTGTTGCCTAAATCTGGTATAAAGTACGTCTGTTCCTGATTTGACTCCTAGAAAACTTTTAGACCAAATTAATCCCACACCTAAGCTAATCTTATGGGCAAAATCGAGCAAAACCCGTTGATACTCTATTAACGTCTCCCAAACATATTGTGACTGTAAAAAAATAGAGTCATAAAGAAGACAATACAAACAAAGGTCATTCTAGAAAAGAAAACTTCACAAAAAAGTTGTAACAGAAAACATTCATCTTCAACAATCTCGATCAAGAAGACGAGGACGTAGAAGTGAAGTAATATAAAGAATTAATAATCAATAGTTCCAAATTATATTTCATCGTCCACTCCGAAGAATATTATCGTCAGCTGGTCCTTATTAAGATTTCCTCGTCAATGTAAGTTAAACGTCCGATACATTTGAGTAAATGCGACAGATTTTTAAACCTCAACATCTTATATTTCGGAATTCAGTGGGTTTAGACCAGTCGTTCATTGAAGGTTTTGGTTTTAGAATTCTTTCGCTACCTTGATGTTTTGTTTCTCTGTTAAACTTTGTATTCATCCTATGTTGCTGTAAGAGCCACTTGCAAAACTGAACTCTAAGTTCATTATTGTGGTAATTGTGGGCCATTATATACGAAATTATTGAAATAAATATGGCGCTCAAAATCCGCAATAGAACTGAAAAATATGGAAATAAAACCATTCACAAAAGAGCGATAAACATAGGTTTTAGTATCGTTTTTTTTTTAATATGCGGGCGAATTGAAGTTATTTAAAAAAACATGATTTGAACAAAAATTTTGCTTTGGCTAGTAGGTACTACACGCTGTTAAAACTGTGAATAAACTAAGTAATCAGCCTCTAATATGTAACCTTATTTTTATCATAGGATATTGCCGACTGGATTTGCGAATGAAGTCAACATGAAGGCTATTAAGCATTATCAATATGTTATAAAAGATTTACTATTATTCGACATCAAACCAGTAGTGACCTTATATTACCATGACTTACCCCAGTCCCTGCAGAATATAGGGGGTTGGACAAATCCAGATATGGCCAAATACTTTGCGGACTACGTTAGGGTTTGTTTTCAGTATTTTCCCAACGTTATGTACTGGATAACATTTAACGACCCAAGAAGCACTTGTAGAAAAGGATACGGAGAAGGAACATTTGCACCTGGTATAAATTCAGACGGAGTAGGAGAATATCTGTGCGCTTACACAATTCTTAAGGCACACGCTGCAGCTTATCATTTATATAAGGAGGAATTTAAGGACTTGAATGGTAATTATCTGTATCTACGTTACACTTTCTTTATTTATCTCTTTAACCAGATATTTTGCCATTTGTGGAAAAAATGTCAATCTCTGCGCGAAAAGAATCAGCTAATGTCTTCTTTCAGAAAACTAAAAATTAGGTTTTTATATTTTATAATCATATGCCTTTTTGACGTGAAATATTTAACTTAGTCACAACTAATTCCACAAAAACAATAATCCTTGACTGATATTTCTGTCTCAAGATTTATTTATTAAACAGCAGAGACCACACACAAAATTATACCACACGTGAATAATCTCAGACAATCTTATATTTTTTTAATTTTGAAGCATGTACAATTACATAATACAATTTAGACCATCAGTTGCTTAATAAAAATTGCTCATTTTCGTTACCTCTATCACCCTTTTCAAGGAACGCTCCTATTTCAAAAATACTCTATAGTAACATTTTGAAATTTTTGTTATCACTTCCTTTAAGGGTAAACCAGAGCAACGCCAGGATGTTTTTTTATTAAAATAGGCATTGTTTAAAATATTCAATATTAGCTAGAAATGTCAATGTGCTTTTCATAACAGATTAATAAATTAATACTTATTTTAAAGGTTATATTTCATTTGTTAGGCATATATGGAATATACAAATGTAACTATGTTTCATTTGATGCTAAATCTATGTTTTGATTAAAACTCATCTTTCTATTATGTAAAAGAATATACCTAATAAAAATAAGTAAGTAAATATAAATATAAATAGTATAAATATAGTATATATAGTATAAATAGTAAAAAAAAAAAAATAAGTTGAAACAACGTATGACTGTAAATTTAAATTAAATTTACTATGACAATACTGGATCTTAATATTTGAAAAAAACTACAATTTCAATCGTAGAATTTTGATAAAACCAACAGGAATATTTTCTTTCAGGTACAATATCTATTGCAATTGATATGATGTGGTCTGAACCAGCTTCAGAAACTGACATAGCGGCTGTAGAAAGAAGAAACGCTTTTGAGGTATGCTTATACCGGGTGTTAGAAGTTTGACTGCCTTAAATTTAACAGACTATAGAATACATTAAAATAAACAAAAAACCCTCATATGACATGGGTCCTAATCTCAACCATTTCCGAGAAAAAATGATCAGTCTCCAACTTGATGTACAAAAGTTCGATTAATTAAGGAATATTGACATAACTGCGTGCATAAAATACAATGTTTAACTTCTTTATAGTTAATTCTAAAAATTAATTAGCGTTGTAATAAATTTAAAACTCGATAGAATTCACATCGAGCAATGTGACAACGGCTCGGCGGTTTATTAACAAGAGAAACTAAGGTGTTCAGCAATCACCAATACGCAATTCAGTTGATATCTGGATTCAACCATGTCAGAGTGTTTTTTGCGTACCACTATTTCCTTTTCTTTATGGTGATGGACATTTTGAGTATATGTTGTAGCTTGTCTTGTACTTGTACGTTTAAAAATTACTGAATTTTGCTTTGTGGTAAGTACCTAAATTATTTTTAATACGTATGATTATTTGGACGACGTAAATCTTTGGGTATTTTAAATACATGTTTTTCAAATACATAATTTGATTAAAAGTTATGTTTCTGCTTAAAGAAATTCATAATTACTAGAATTTGAGCTAAAATTTAAGCACACACTATCTTCGTACTATAAAATCGATACATTTTATTATTTTATTTATTTAAAAACTGGAAAACAATCGTCTTGAAATTTGCTAAATGTTCCACAATAATAGTTGTTTACATTTTTTCCGTAGGACAAGTCTGCCCCGTGCATACGTGGTGTACATCAGCAGGTTAAGCGCTGTTGTCACTTCATGATGAAACTCCTCAATATTAATACTCGCTATATTTTGAAAACTGTGAATCTTACATCCCTGTAATATACAACTTTTTTGTTCATTTATGATTACTCTGTCTCATGCTGAAGTAATGGCAATCAAACTTCTTACACCCTGTATGTAGGTACTCGTATATATATATATCTACTTTAGTTAATTTTTGTTGTTATTTTTGTACGAAGCTCTTCGTTTCGAATATTGTCAAAATTAAAAAATATATATTTTCTAACTATATGAAAATATTTTGTCCAAATATGAGCATCGTCCATAAATAGTGTTGGAATTACTTTTACTTTTATGAACTTATGTTTTAAGCAGCAGTAAAAATTCATTATTCAACTGTTTAGTAAGCTTATCCTAGATTTAAAAGAATAATAATTATCTCGGAAGTCGAAAACTTATGCGAGAGATGGAGCGGCATATTGTTATTCAGTAACCTCATTAATAAGGGGGATGGTCAAACGCCCATCGATATCAATCTCTCACATTGACACAAGCCAACGTTCTTCCACCCTACCATATCCGCAAGTATATCGAAACAGAGTCAAGAAAATCAATTGAATTTATGTTAAAATGCTAAATAGTAACGTCGAAGTTCTGAGTTTATAATGACAGTATGTTCTTGTGTCTCATCATCGGCTACTGGTTTAATGATTTTTTATCTTTGCTTGGTTAAGTTACTGGCCCAAATAATGCAATCAGTATTAGACGATCAAACATTTTGAAAGGCAGTAGTATAAATGTTATATTTTTCAAAATTTTCAACACCGTTTTTACGATACAAATCAGGTACAGATAAAAAGTTTTTTTATTAAAATTATCCAAGGAATCATCTTCAGAGATACCTATGTTTAGATACTGTATGTGATGTTCAACCTAAAACAGAATAATTACTTAAAATTATTTTAAAAAGTTTTAAGTTTTATTTGTGCAAAAATTCTGCCATTTGTTAACAAAGTTTATATTTGATACAGTATATATTTGATCATTAGAGACAATTATAAAGCCTTTACTTAGGCACATTGTTCAAGTTAGTTGAAAGACACATTTTAACTTAAATTTAATATTCCCATATTTTTTTTGGTTTAACATAAACCCATCAATAACAAAATCATTATCATAAATAAATAACGAAATTCGGCAATAAAACAAAATCAGAAAATATATGACATGCTTGAAACATGGTCACCTTTTATACTTTTACGAATTAAGTTCACATGTAATAATATTAACTAAATGGGTAAATTTGTAATAGCTTTGAAATGATCAAGAAATCTATACTAATATAATAAAGAGGAAAGATTTGTATTTTTGTATGTATGTATGTATGTTTGTTACGAATAAACTCAAAAACTACTGGACGGATTTCGATAATTCTTTCACCATTAGAATGCTACATTATGCCTGAGTAACATAGGCTATATTTTTTATATCCCAAAATGTTTAAAATAAATGTCCACCCGTGCGAAGCCGGGACGGGCCGCTAGTATTGGATATAACCTTATAAAGAACGTTCAAAAATGCTGGAAAATGTTTAAGGATGTCAACCTGTCAATCGGTTTGGTTTTCTTCCAGTTTGGTTTGTACGCCAACCCCATCTATAAAGGAAACTGGCCCCAGGAAGTTATAGACAGAATTGATTACAGAAGCAAGAAAGAAAATTTCACCAAATCTCGCCTTCCCAAATTTTCCAATGAAGAAATTAATTACATAAAAGGTACTTCGGACTTCATGGCAATAAGTCTGTTTTACGCAAACATTGTTGAAGACTCCGAAGAAGCTAAATTCGACGATCCCAGTTACGAGAAGGATATGAAGGCTAAAGTCTATTTGAACTCAAATTGGAGTTTGGCAGTGAACGGACAGCCGGTGAGTCTTTTTCTGCAGGCTGCGCTCAAATCGACTTAATTCACGTTTCCGTCAAATAGTTAATGCTGATATACTAGATATATTTAAAAGTGTATTTTTAAACCTTTCAAAAGGGCTATTACCTGACCATTATTTGTATTTAACAAAAACTTTTGAACATTGTAAGGGTTGCTTTCGCTGTACAGCAAGAATAAAACGCTCTCCCAACGGTAATAATAAAGTATTTTATTGAAAACTAAGTTGTATAGAAAAAGACGTGTTGACGGGGTGAGTGTTCGTTAGAGAGTCAGTCCTTGTGTGTCGTCGCTGGCAGAAGTCCCTGGTCCTTGGCGCCACTCTGCCGGGGTCGTCTTCCGGGAACCCTGTAGTGCGTCCGGCGGCGCTCTTGACGTAATGCTTAAAAATGGGTCAGTTGCGGCATGTGTACCCACAATTGAAACATGTACTGTAATTTTCCGAACTACATTTCTGCCATATTCCATCTAAGGTTTTTTCCAAATTCTCAAAAATATCGAAAATATCTGCACTACTCTACGCAGAAAAACATATTCGATCCGAATCAATAAAAAAATAGGTTTCCTTTGTAACAAATTTTATATATGACACGGATTTAATTTCCTTCTTGAAATCTCACAGATATTTTAGTTTTTGGTAACATTTGCTTTTTGGTTAAATTTTAAATTTTTCCACTGGTTACATAATTTATATTTAATTGATATAATTTCTCTACAATGGTTTGTGGTTTGAATAAAGTTCGGTTTCATCAAAACCACTTCCTTTTCTTTTTCTTACTACTTTTATAAACAAGCAACCGATGAAAAAAGTATCCTATAAAACATGAATTATTAAAATTAAAATTAACCTTGTTTGGTTCACTTATCTTGCTCATTTTTTTAATCCCATTTTATTTATTAGATCGTCCCATGGAGTGCCAGAAAGGCCCTAGCTTGGTTAAGTTCTTCTTTTAATGATCCTAAAATATTTATTACTGCAAATGGTATTCCAGACAGTGAAAATATTACTGACAGTACCAGAGTTAACTACTTTCAGGTAAGAAAAACCATTTAGTTCGCTTATGTTTAATTATGTGCCTCTAGGATTATCTCCTTGCGATACTTGATGCAATTGAAGAAGATGAAGTGAAAGTCTTTGCATATACAGCTTGGAGTTTATTCGACTCTTTTGAATGGACAGATGGATACAGGTAATAAATAAAAGAGGTCATACATACTACTCAATATTTAAATTTTTTAAACGCTGCGCAATTTTTTGCAGAAATCGATGCAAGTATGTGATATTTTCGGAGCTACTATCGCAAATATTTTGTTTTTTCAACATTTTATACGTTCGGAATAATTATCTGAAAAAGTTTTTTGTCATTACAATACATTGATTAATGACAAAATTAAATGATAATAGAAATAAGAAATCACAATAAATCTTTGCGTCGAATGTCGGAAATGGTGAACCGAAATCAAGAGTAGGAGTGCACCCGCACTCGCACAATTCATATAGTGCAGGTATCGGGTGTATTATTTGTATTATTCGCTGCTTTTTCAAATCATAAATAAGTAATGAAAACAAATTTTCATTCAAATAAATACAAGAAAATAAATTCACCAAAAAATTATTATTTAATTAAAAACTTGAGTGTAGTTAGCCCCCAAAGTTAACTCCCAAAACGGAACAGCCGGACAAGAGGAAATAACCTAAGGAATAGTTGAAAGAGGTGTACTATAACGCATCTCTACCATCAAACCGGCTTGTCCGGTCCGGGGGTGGAAATGGCGTGACTTACAAAGTTATCCCCCTATTTTTGCTATAATTCTCATCGTACCCGGACAAGACGATATAACCTAACGAATAGTTGGAAGAGGTGTACTATAAAGCATTTTTACCATCAAATTGATTTGTCCGGTCCGGGGGTGGAAATGGCACGACTTACAAAGTTAGCCCCCTTTTTTTTTGCTATAACTGTCCTCGAACCCGAACAAGACGAACTGACCTAAGGAATAGTTGAAGGAGGTCTGTAATGCATTCCTGCCATTAAAGTGACTTGTCCGATCCGGAGGTGGAAATGACATGACTTAAAAATAATTTAGATAAAATATGGTTTGCAAATTTTATATATTTTTAAAGCGATAATGGAAATAAAGATATAGTTTTATGAGTTTAAAAGTCTGCCAATTCTATGAATAAGAAAGCTTATTTTTTCTTAATGTCTAGAGATCGATAAATCTTAAATCATGCTCCAAGCTCCAATGTTACCCCTTATTCAAAATGTGGAATTTACCTATTTTCGGAACAAGTTTATAACAATAATAGTAATAATATTTATTACATTGCCCCAACAGAGACCATTTACAGGTCAATAATTTAAAAATAAATGAACAATAAAAGGGTTATAGCAAAAATAGGGGGCTAACTTTGTAAATCGCGCCATTTCCACCCCCGGGCCGGACAAGTCACTTTGATGGTAGAGTTGCGTTATAGTACGCCTCTTTCAACTATTCCTTAGATTATTTCGTCTTGTCCGGGTACAATGAGAGTTATAGTAAAAATAGGGGGCTAACTTTGTATGTCGTGCCATTTCCACCCTTGGACCGGACAAGTCACTTTGATGGTAGAGATGCGTTATAGTACACCTCTTTCAACTATTCGTTAGGTTATTTCGTCCTGTCCGGGTGCGATAAGAGTTATAGTAAAAATAGGGGACTAACTTTGTTTAAGTCGCGCCATTTCCACCCCCGGACCGGACAAGTCACTTTGATGGTAGAAATGCGTTAATAGTACACCTCTTTCAACTATTCCTTAGGTCATTTCGTCTTGTCCGGGTACGATGAGAGTTATAGCAAAAATAGGGGGCTAACTTTGTAAGTCACGCCATTTCCACCCCTGGACCGGACAAGTCGGTTTGATGGTAGAGATGCGTTATAGTACACCTCTTTCAACTATTCCTTAGGTTATTTCCTCTTGTCCGGCTGTTCCGTCTTGGGGACTAACTTTGGGGGCTAACTACACTCAAGTTAATTAAAATTAATTAACAAACTTTTTCTTTTTTTCCTTACATGCTTTCTAAATTGATATTTAATAATCAACAAAATATTGATTTTAATATATTTGTATAAAAATAATACATAACTCTATTAAACAATCTATTTTATGTATCTGTTTAACAATTTTAAATGAGCTACGCAATACATTCACTCGGCTACACGGGTCGAAGTGTACTAGAAAGAAAAGAAGGGAAGGGCTAGTCATAAAAAATTCGGCTCAATTGAGCCGGCTCACTGAACCGGCTCCGTATGAGGAACCGGAATCGGTGAACCGGGTCAGCAAAATGAACCGGATTTCTCATCTCTAGTCTATTGTCATCCAACTAGAAGAAGCTAAATAGTCGTTGCACCGCGGACTGTCGGAAATTTACGATCATAACCGATTATGCACCGAGAAGTGACAATTACTTAACCAATATAAGACGCGTCTTACACGTAAATATAATCATTATGAAAACGAATAATTCCATTAACACAGCTGTTATATACAGATTGGGATATTGATTTTTATACAACAAATCTTCCCTACTATACAAATGGAACATAAAGCCTATAAGTCATAATAATATGTACAGTCTGTACGATATTTGTTGAGATAGAATTTCAAGAAAAGAATAAGCCAATAAAGTGCTGTTATCGAAACTACTGTTTTAGTTTACCGCGACAGGAGCGTGCCTTAAAAGTTTCCGCCAATGTCACCGCGACAGGTGCGTGCCAATATCTTTCTACCTCGGGTGTGGAATGCGGTTAATTCCAAGAAAGTGGCGCAGGGGTCTTCTTGGAATTCTATCTCAACAAATACCGTAAGGACTCTGAGTAATTCTTTATAACATTTATTTCACAGATGCATAATGTGCATCAAATGCTTTCCAGTTTTAAACCGAAAGTTAATTTGTAATGCCGTACATGCGGATATGCATTCTTTTTGTAACACATAGCGTTTGTTGTAATTCACTTATTGTTTTCCATAAATCGTCGTTAATTAAAAGATAAATATATTTTATTTTTGATATAAGAATTTTTACGTACATTAAGAGAGTAAAAAACTTTTTCAAGTTCAGTTAATTTTCATCTTATTCAAAACCCAGTATTTCTTACCTAGAAAAATGAACTATAAGAAACCAGCATATTATTTATGTTACTTTAACTAGAAATATTAGAAGGAATTGCAAAATCTTTTATCTTAGAAAATGATGACGTCCTATGATGTATCAGCGGCGGTGGTATATTTTAATACCTTGTTTCTAACATCAAATATTACATATAAATCATACCTTGATTCTCTTGTTTCAGTTATAAATTTGGCTTCTTCTGGACAGATTTTCGCAACATCACGTTCCATGAAAGAGCTTCTCTAAATTTTTATTCCAGAGTTGCTCAATTTTTCATCGTCCCAGAAAAACCCACTACAAGTACAGCAGATGTCACAACGGACACTATCCCACATACCACTCCCGATTCTGCCACCAAAATTGCCTTATATTCTTCACTGATATTAACCATGGCATTTCTATTCCAAATACTATTTTAAATAATATTAATATACGTATATTATATTAATTTTTCAATCATTCTAGTCTCTTTTGAATTCCTATTTTAATTTGGAAAATTACTGTTGATCTACAGAAATTTTATTTAAATTTAAAAGTGGTTTAGCCAAAATATGTCTGTTATATTATTCAAAACTAAACATAGCAAACTCACTATTTGTAATATATATTTTTTACAGAATTTTATCCTTAGTGGTGTACAATATTCCCAATTTAATAATAATAANTGCTTTTGTTTCAGATCGCGAGGCGCGCCGACTGATTTAAATGCACCGCCCGAGGAAAAAGGATGGGGAAAATTTCGGAGGACTTGGAAAACTATAAACACGGTTTATTTGTGCCGTTTTATTTGTTTGTGTTCGCTTGCCTACTTGATTTCAATAACCCTGTGTATTTCAAGGTTAAATAAAAATTATATTATATGGGAATTTGCACTATAAATCTTCCACCCTAAGAATGAAGCATCCCTTAAAAGGTTGACCTTATTTTCTTCTAATTCTGTTTCCTCTAGTTGGTTGACTTTACCCGTGCTCCTCTTTATCATCGCTAGCTTTCTGTTACTTCATCTTATGTAAAATTTAACATCAGCTATTACTAATAAGGTACACAAGATAATAGTTTTTAACATTTTGACAAGATTTAAATTATAAAACAGTTAGATACTTACATAACTTTCCACTTCACACAACGCGGTATGATCACGTATCCCACAAAACGTATCTATACTGTCTATGCTCATCCAACTAGAAGAAGCGTAATAGTCGATACAAAGTCTATTTGTTTAGCTGTTACTTATTAATTATGGCAGGTTTTTCTCACTTCAGAATAAACTTATTTGTCAATTAAGTCCGTAAATATCTGTTTGATAAAGTGCATATTCGTAAGAATGTGAGAGACATAGATTTATTTCACAATTAAACTTAACTTGTCAGTTGAAGAAAACGACCCCTTTTGAAAATGATTTTCTTTGTGAGAAAATTGTAAATTAAAGTTTGCAAAATTACAGTGAATTGAGTTTATTTCAGATTTTACATCTTGTTCTGATGCTACAATTATGGCGCAAGAATTAGGTATTATTCGATGAATTACCAAGGTTGATGCTGACGGAGCAACTGAATTAGAAGCTACAACAACTTTGATAATAATAATAATTTTATTTTCCTACAGGTTACACCCAATTGCAGGAAAGGCTAAACAAATTATAAATATAAGGTAGTACATTGTAAGATGTTTTCAAAACATGAAATGAAACAACTAAAAATTTGCATTAAATATCTCTTCGTACACACGAATTATTTTAAATAAACTATCAAAATGAAGGTCACACAAATATGATATGGAATTAAAAAGAGTGCATGCATTATAAATAGGTGATTTAGTTATTATATATTGTATTTGGAAGGTCACAATAATAACATTATGCCGAGTTTCTATTCTTGAAACAAATATATTCAATTTCAATAGAGCAGGGCAGTCGATTCTATTATTAAATTATAAATAAATGAAATTGAACGATGACTGTAACTGGAAAGCTTGAAATAGTACCTTATTGTCTCTGCCTCTCTCAGGATATACACCATTTTTTTTACTTCAAGAACCGCTGCACCGACTCTATTTGACAAATATTACAGGATTCAAAAAGTACAAAATTCATGTTGTCGTATTATTAGTGGTCTAAGAAAATATGGTCATAATATATCTCATGTTATTGGGGAGATCAAGTGGCTCAACATGGAAAATCGTAGGCGTCACCATCTTTGCATTTTTTTCCATAAGATTATCACTATTCCTTCTCATCATTCTTTAAAAACTAATTTTTTACAGCGTGGTAATGTTCATTCCAGAGATATTAGATTTAAAAAAAAGTTCACGATGCCCCATCATAGAACTGCTTTTTTCAGAAGATGTTTTACATACAACGCTATTACATTTTATAACTCCCTTCCTAACGATTTCAAATTATTTAACAACAAATTTAAATATAAAGTTAAACAATATTTATTGAGCAGGCAGCATTCTACGTAAATTGTTAACATGATTCTTGATTTGATACTTAATTTTGTTGTGCTATTTATTTCTTTATTATTTTATAAACAATAATACTCATACATATTTAGTTACCTATTATGTTAAGATGTTTGTGTGTTTGTATTGCAATGTCATTCTACTTTGAATTTCAATCATTTCTCTTTATGATATTGCTTACCTTATGGTTGAGTGGAGTAGCCTTGGCTAGACTTCGCCATAAGTTGGGTTGAATTATTTTCTTATATTTGTGTTTGTATCATAGTAATTATCTGTCAAATAAAGCCGATTTATTATTATTATTCATATCAACATGGGTCCGATTTCGCTTCGTTCCTTAGCTACACGGTGTCAAAGTTTTAAAATAAAATAAGTTTTTTCCAAAAATCAAGATTTTCACTTGATGGAATTAAATGAAATTTGGACAACTAGCTATTTATAACCGAATACACATTCCTAGGGATTATTATGTTGAACATGAATTACAAGACCGGACTTACCCTTGAGAACAACGGAGACGTGGAAGACAGAAACGTTGAAGGTAGAGAGTACAGCAATTTTAGGCGGTTTTATAGTGGAGTATGGGGCACTTGCGGTTTATTTTTATGGTTGGTTCTTTGTTGTTTTATTTGTACTAAAAAAAAATTCGAACCATTTGATGGGGGGGATCGCCCCCCTTGGATCCGCGCCTGTCTATTTTAAGGACGCTCCATAAGCACCAAATTTACCCATTTCATTTTACTCGAGTTCAAGAATTATTACCTCGAAACTACGCACCCCAATTGCAATTTTGTCAGTAGTTTCAACAAAAAATATGCGAAATCTAGATTACTTACTGACGAAGCTTTCAGCAGAAAGGGTATTACAAATTTTCTCAACTTTCATTCTTTTTTTTTTATTAGGCCAGTCAATTCGCAGCACCAATTCTCAACATGTGGGCAGGGATCGTTGGCAATTAAATCATTGGCCCTAAAGAACTTCAAAATCCCCTGAATCATGCATCTTACCTCAACTTCCTTCAAAATGACCTTCCAGAATTGGTTCCTCTAAACATGAGAAATAATCGTTTATGGTTGCAACATGATGGAACACCGGAGCATTTTGCGGTTCCAGTTCGACAACATCTGAAAGAAATTTTTGGAAACCGCTGTATTGGAAGAGGTGATCCAACCTCGTTCCCCAGATAAAACACCCGTAGATTTCTACCTCTGGGGACATGTGTCACTTCAAGGGCAGAATAATCATGAAGATTTTACGATATCTTGGGGATGTACGGCAATTCATTCGGAACTTTCAAGATGTACTGGGATATACTAAGAGTGTGCAGGAATTTAAAAGGATATGTAAGATTTATTTTAGATTGTGGAATGTACTTGATTGAACACATACGCAATGCGTTAATTTCTTATCATAGTCTCTTTAAAAAGAGACTCTAAACAATGAAATATGAAACTAAGATGTAAATCTAGTCAACTTCTTATCTAGCCAGAACGTTGCTTAACTCTAAATCAAGTCTTGCATTGGGAATAGGGTCGCTGTGGGTGCATGTAGTCATAAGTTGAAAATTGATTTTTTATTTGTATCTCCGGAATCTATTAACCAATCTCAAGAAAATTTGGTACAGATTTGATAGTAGACTTTGTATTCCCTAAAATATGAGCCCTAAAGATTCAACCAGTGGTGTACAACTGGACAGGGGTCACCCCTTTTTATAAAAAAAAACCTACGCCATTGTATTTTTTACAAGTTATTGTAACGGATTTATATTCTAATGCACGAAATACGTAAAAAAGGTAACTTGATTTTTTTCCCTAAGATTCGCCGTTTTCAAGTTATTCATACCAATACAATCCCCTTGTGGTAGACACTTCAAACCATAATATTACAAGCATATTTATGTTTATGCTTAAAAGTAAGTGTAATTTGTAAGCTTCCATATCCATTCAGATTTCCATATCACCTGTGAGATAGTGTTTCTGGTGTGTTTTAGTTTCCCCTGGAGGTCTAATCTTTACAAATAAGAACAATTTATCAAAATAATAATAATAATACATTTACCAAGCAACAACACCTAAACAAGAAACAAAATTAACGTTACGTATTTACAGCAATTGTTCAAAATTCGAACCACCCACATCCATACATTTCTGACATCTTCTGTTAATGGAACTAATTGAAGCTAATAGCATGTGGTGACTTTATTTTAATTCATTACACCTCTCTTCTATTCGCTACAGTAGTTGTAGTCTAGTATCTATTGGAGTAGAGTAAACTTTACTTTTCAGATAGGTAACCCCAAACATAGAAATCCAGGGGGTTTAGATCTGGTGATCTGGCTGTCCAAGACACTGGACCCTCTCCACCATTATGGTTGACTGGCATTTTCTTCTGTCTATCCATCACCCCATATAATTTTCATTAAGCCATTCTTGTATTATTCTCCTCAAGGAGCACCATCTATTTGTATCCAGCTATTTTGTCGTATATTTAATGGAACATCCTCTAATAATTCAAATACTCGTAGATGGTTTTCTAGAAAGTTTAGAAATGACTGGGAATTTAAATGGGGTGGCAAGAAGAAAGATCCACATACTACTTTATTGCGATTTATCCCGAGCCATACTTTTACAGAAAATTCGTGTTGAAAAAATCTTGTCCGAATTCCATAAGGATTTTCTTGTGACTAAATATGCAAATTGTGAAAATTCACTACCCCTCGCCTTGTGAACGCAGCCTCATCAGTCCAAAGTATTTCTAGTAAGAATTCTAATAACCACTGATAAAAATTCAGGCGTCTCTCTGCAACTCCCGGAAGTAAACTTTGCACAGGTTGTAAATGGTACGAATTTCTGCCATCCTTATGTAGAATTTTTCAAATTTTCGATTTACTCACCCCAAGTTGCCGAGACGTTCTTCGTGTACTTAGCCGAGGATCGTCGTCAAATGCTCTTAAAATTTCATTTCTGTGCCTTTCATTGCTCCGTCGTGATTTTCCAAATATCGTTTTAATCCAAAAAGATTAAAGCCACGAGTGTAAAGAATTTCGTTGATATGCTTACAAATTGCACTTAGTTTTAGGTATAAACATAAATATTCTTATAATATTATGGTCTGCTACAAGGGGATTGTGTTGGTATGAATAACTTGAGAACAGTGAACTTTACGGAAAAAAATTAAGTTATTATTTTTTTTACGTAATTTTTTAATACGTGCAATAGAATATAAATCCGTTACAATAGCTTGTAAAAACTACAGTGGCGTAGGGTTTTTTTTATAAAAAAAGGGGGTGACCCTGTCCAGTTGTACAACACTGGTTGAACCTTTAGAGCTCATATTTTAGGGAATACAAGGCCTACTATCATACATTATCCGTACTAAATTTGATTGAGATCGGTTAATAGATTCCGAAGATATAAGGAAAATAAATTTTTTTAAACTTCAACACCCTGTATCTCTAAAACGAGGCCGTTTCAAACCTATGTTTATAAGGCAAACACCTACTATTTTAAAGAGATCTATCTGCCCTAGAAGTTTCCTGCATAAAATTCGGACCACCCTGTATAGATTTTCTTCAATACATCTAATCACCGTTACTCATTGCATTGGAAACTTATTTTTTTTATCTGCCGTTATCTGCCGTACATGTCCATTTTCACGAAACTACTTTTCAATTTCGCTAATTGTACCCCGGAATATAGACGGCAAATCAGGAAATTTTTCTTAAAATAGGCGACCAACTTCGGCCTGTGATCGCATTCTAACCCCGTAATCAATTTAAAAATTTAGGGATTGCGACTGCCACTGGAATTTAAGCATGAAATTTTTGCGTTGAAGAATGTCAGTCCAGAATCCAAAATCGACGTGTCTCGTGATTTTTATAAATATGCACAATAATTGAGATACTGAAATTATTCCATTTGGTTGTTCCACAGGAATAAATGTAGAAATTTGATTAAAGTTACAGAGAAAAAATACTCAAGTCTCAATTTCGAGTTTAAATATATTAGTTTTTCCTCAGTTTGGTTATTCCCTACCAGTACGAAAAATGCTCACAGTTAAACGATGAGTGCTGCAGTACCAATAATTGCAATTAATTTTCAGTGTTTGTACGATTTAAAAAATAATCTAATCTCAAGAGCATCTGGCACTATATAAGTGTATCAAATATGTTGCTTTCTTCTAGTCACACTAAAGATATAAATTAACAGTGATGTACAAAGTACTGTTGGTGTTACCGCTGATTTTATCGGTTTCGAGGTGAGTCCACTTTATAAGTTACTTCGGTGCACTGATATTATAAAACAAAATAATTATGTTGAATATTCTGGAATATTCTAGATAACGTTATTTGTAACACAAACAAGAAAGAAGTAATATCCGTTGAATAGTGTTAATTTACAATTACACATAAGCTTGATATTTTTATGATAGCAACAATTCTGATTCTATAAAGATTAAGATTCAGATGTTAGTTAAAGATATAAAAGAATCTATAATATAATAATTGTCATAATGCCGATAGCAGACAAGCGATATAATAAACTAAATTTGGGTTAAACAATTTTAGATTTGTTGGAAAAGTTAGATAAAGAATTGAACATTTTATTTGTGGTATATTCTATTCAACATCATTTGATATGCCAAATAGTGATTTTTCTTGTTTATTAGTTTTTTATTTACTGAATATTTCTGCCACATTGAAAAGAAAAAAAATTAAATAAATTGCACTGTTTAAGCCAAAAATGAAGTCAAACAATAGAAATCCTTTGGTTTGGACTCCCAGAAATAGATACCGCTGTGTGTGCTGTTTTATAGCAATGAAGCAGTCTGAATTCAAAAAATACCGCAAAAAAGAGACGTGTGATAGAATTAAAACGAATCGGTACAAATATTTGGTATAGACCATTTTTAATTGTAAACAGTAGTAGTTTGGCTTATTTACTTTTATCAATCAAATAGTGCATACGGTAGCCAACATCCTCCCATTCCTCTCGTATCCTTTACCCTTGGCTACCATAATAGTGTGACATCATCATCATTTGGTAAGTTTATACATAGTTTCCTTTTTTCTCTCTCTCTCTTGTCTCCATTATTGGTTACAGTCCATTCCGTACTTTATAATAGCTTAATACTAAACAGCACCAAAATTTAGTTTAAATAACCAGAAATACCTGACAAAGTTTATCAAAAACTCTACTGCAAAATTAGATACAAAATTCAAAAGAATTTAGTACATACTGTAGTCGTGGTCGTTCCTCCGCTACGGGGAGTACCTACTGCTCGCGACTCTCCCTCATCCTGAGATTCTCTAGGGCAGCGGTCGGCAACTGTCGGACCGCGGTCCAGATCCGGACCACAGAAGGTAAAAAACTGGGCCGCCAAAAATGTTTTGAAAGTATAATTACTCATATGTAAAAAATATTTTTTTTTCTGAGATAACAATACATTTGAGTGCCACCCTTATCATTTTTAATGGTTAATAGGTTAGTTAAAAAAAACTGGCTCAAGACCGCAAATGTAATTTCTTCCGTTGATTTTTGAATACATTTGAATACAAATACTATCTAAATTGTATTTCCTATTATTTTGTGAGTGCCAATTAAAATAAAAAATTAGTAAGGATTATACTCATGATATCCAGATGCTTTCAACAACCCTTAAATTGTTAAGCAAGGATCTTCATCGTGGTAAGTTTAATATGAGCATTTTGAAAAATACAGGGTGGCTAAAAAATTGCGTTACTAGTAAAACGTCAAAATAAGGGATACAGAAACACTCTCTCTAATATGTGGAGTTGGAGCCACTTCACAGATAAATTATTATTTTTTTAATTTTACCACAGCTGTTAACAAAATTCATTTTTAAGGACAAATAGAATCTCCATTAGATACTTTTAGGCCTTAATTCAGACCATTGATAATAATTAAAAATAGTTACTAGGTTTTGTCATATTGTGGCATATTCGACTTTGTTGAAATAAAATTCATATATGTTTGTATTAAATTTGCAATTTCAATAAATAAAGCGCTATATAAATTTCATATAAAAAAAATCGATTAAACTACAGACAGTAGAAATATTAGCATGTACTGTTGTAGAATAAAAATCAAGAGGGGAATTTGTTAATTTATAATCTAGAATAAGTATTACAACAATCACTATATATTGTGACAAACCATAACCTGCCAAATTCTGTAAATATATTGTAATTTGTTATATTAATACATCTTTTATTTAAAGAATTAGTATAAAATTTCAACAGTTTCAAAATTAAAATTCAAAATAAAATAAAAATAAAAATAAAATAGAACAGATATAGGAACCCACACCCATCATTGAAAGAGTCTCATCAAATAAATATAAATGCGCTCATAATAATAATAATAATACAAATTCATAATAGTAGCAACTGTTCTCTATCCGATTACCAATATTTTTAGATACTCTTATTTCTCTTGCTTAGTTCCGGGTCTTCTTTAACACGTTCCAAGATATATTGTTCAACTTCAGGAACCCTTACATAACACTACCTTCCATAATCCGCGGTTTCAGGAGCAAAGGGACTGGTTTCCCGAAGCCGTCTCTCCACAGCAGCAAACGTTGGGCGACTTGGTATGCTCTGACACACTCTCGACCATTTCCTTCAGAATAGCCAAAAACTAATAACATGTCGGTATATTCTGCATTGGTGTATTGTACGGCTATGATGAATGAAAATATAAATCAAATTATTAAGTAAATAAACTTTTGAATCTTAGTAATAATTTAGGTGTTTAAATGCGACATTTTTAACTTGAAATTATGACAACCAACAATCAAAATTATTTGTGTAAATACAAGTACCACAACTTGTAAAAAAAAACGTATCCCTAATAAAGGTAATACAGAAAAACCATATGGAATACGCCGAAATGAATAAGCGTGTTTGTTAAAAAGTCCCATTTTTATTTAAAGAATATCAGAAAAAAATTTTTAAATATTTTTTTCCGAATTTAATTTTTGTGTCAAAATTGCTGCCAATGATTAAAATTACAAATTTCGAATAAACCATGAGAGTAATCGAGTCTTATCTAGAGTACCTTTATTGTAGTAAATATTTTACTACTATTCCATTGACGTAGAATTATGGAAGGTGTAATTACTAAAAAACCCATGTTATACGCCAATTGATTGATATTACTCATAATTTTAATTTGATTATTGTGCTATAGAGCGGTGTCAACAACTTACCAAATTTTAGCATATTCGCGTAAGGCGTTTTAAATTTATAAAAAAAAAACGATTTCAAAATTATTGCAACTTCAGGGCCGTATAGGTACCGCCCAAACGAAGCAACTTTGAACCAATGTAAGCTTAGCTAAATCGACTTATTTTTAGCCATACTATATCTAAAGCTAAAGTTAAAGACCTTTTAGGGACACCCTGCATATAAGCAGAGAACATATTACGCTCCGTTTTAATCGTTTTCCTGACTTCAGCTTTTGATTTTTTTTTGAGATATGAATACAGATTTTAATGAAAACTGTTCAGATTATTTCAATCCATTCAAACCTGAAGCAGAAATAAATTTCATATATAAAAATTTGGACAAGGTCGTGTTTCCGTTAAACTCTTGTCTTGTCTCAACATTGCAAATATCTGAGCTATTAGAAAATTAGTGCAATTAAAAATAAAAACTTGTAGATAATGAGATTGTGGAAATCAGTAAGTATATGTTTTTCTTTGACAACATCAGCAATTTTTATAAGTAGTTTTATTATATTTAGTAAAAAATAAAAAATACATAAAGGACTACTAGATCTAAGTTATATACAGGGTGATTCAGTCATAATGTCGTTAATTTTAACCACGTATTCGGAAGGCTTAATAAAGGCAGAAAATCGGAAAAAAAATTTTTACTCGACTTTTAAAAATGAAGGAAATCGACCCATAACTCCCGCTACGAGGGCGGCCCTGGCGGATGCCCGGATGCTCGGAAAATTTTGTAACGTAATGTCGCGAATAGTTGTCGGCTAAAGCGAACAGCGTTGCCAAGTTCACATCATAATGTGTGGTTCTCATTTACTGTTAAACGTATTCAAGTAAATAAAGGAGCATGTTGCATTTTATTATAAATAATTTTAACAATTGTATTAACTTAGTGCAGAATGTTTTAACAAGCCTGACTTCTCGAAGTCAACTTTCGTTAAAAGAAAATAAATAAAGTAAAGGTAGTTACCAGTTTGTAGGCACACCGTATTTTATCAAATAAAAAAGTCGGCACACTACTAAATACCCGAATATACAAAATGCACTACACACGGTTACAAAACCATTAACAATTTAAAGCGTTTATTCAAATCTACCACCGTCCATATCTTCCGCATTTTTCCAACTGCATCTATCATACCATACCGCGCAGCGAACGTGCAGGACATCGACAAAATGACTTAAATGTAATAGAGGCTGTTTTAAATTTAGTCGAGGAGCAGCCTACTATTTCTACAAGAACAATTTCAAGGCGACTGGAGATATCACAAACCAAAGTTTGCGGATATTGCGCGAGAATTCATTCAACCCGTATCATTTTCAAAAAGTTCAAGCTTTAGAACCAGCTGATTTCCCCAATCGTCTTGAATTTTGCAGTTGCAGCTAACTTTATTTTTATTTTTAAATCAAAGTGCGCTGGACGGATGAACGCTGTTTTACTCGTGCTGACATTTTAAACAAATAAAAAACATATTACTTTCTCAAAAACAATAAGTACCTATCTAGGTTACACCAAAGTTTATATTTACACTAAAGTTTACATTTATTATGTAAACTTTGGTTATACGCAACTGCATATTGAATAATAAATTGAAATATTAAAACTGTGTATTATTTAACATAATAAATTATAAAACGTTAAAACGTTAATAATATTAAAAATTATAAATTGTAATAACCGTTCATTGGAAAACAATCATCCCGATTCATTACATTTTCCTTTGATAAAAGGCCGACAACTTTTTGCTCTATGGAATGCGATCCTACTACAGTTCGTATTAATCTAGGAGCCAGATAGGGTTCCGTTTACTAGCTATAAAAATAAAAACTTTTTACAGCCATTTAAACATTTAATTTGTTGATAACAATTAAATTCACCACTTTCAGGCTTTGCGACCAAGTTTTTTGGATTCAGATAAAATACTACGAATAAGTTGTTTGCAGCCGTGGCACTCTGTTGGCCATGGCACCCTATCTGGCTCCTAGACTATGCACACGTACACGTGCAAATTAAAAGTGGGTCAAATAAAAAGGTTATTGACCCTAGATACAGGTTAGCCTAGGTCGGAAACACGTACCGAGTTGTTTATTTGTCTCCGTCCGATTGTCTTTTTATTTTCTATTACTTACAGTCAATATTTAAATACTACATAAATTTCACCCTCTCTTTATAATTTATCTAGTGAGTGTTGGTTTTTTATGTCATTAATTCTGTAATGAAATTTAAATTACTTGAACTCTTGGAGTTTTGTAACTTCAATATTAAATTTTATTTAAAGCGAAACTGAGCTAATTTCTTTGCAACCATAATAGTCACATTTGGTCAGATGAAAACCCACACACTACTCGTCGGTTTAGCTTTCAGAGGAGGTTCGGTGTCAATATATGGGCAGGAGTAAATGGCGATCGTTTAATTGGGCCGCATTTTCTACCTGAACATCTGAATGGGCCGCGTTACTTTCAATTTTTAATAGAATTCTTTGAAAACCTCCCCCTTCAGATGTTACTGGATATGTGGTATATGCACGACGGAGATCCGGCCCATTTTGCTCGCGATGTCCGTGGATTTTTAGACGATCAATGTTCCAATCGGTGGATAGGGAGATGAGGGCCCATAATCCTATGGACTTTTGTATATGGGTTATATGAAATCTGTCGTGTATCACACCGAGATAGAGAATGTAGAGCAGTTGCGGAATAGTATCGAAGATGCCGCTGAAGAAATACGTTACAACCCTGGTTTATTCCATCGCATCCGCCGCTCATATATCCAACGTGTACACTTGTGCATAGACGGTAACGGTAATGTATTTGAACATTTGCTGTAAGCCCGAAGGCTTACAGCAAATTAAAAAATTAACATTATGATGTTAATAAAAACTGATTTTTGGCAAGGCATGCTCAGACCTCCTCGAGGTTCTTGCTGGGCAACAATAACAATTTAATGTGTTGATTGCATAATTATAAAAAATAATTCATAGCATTTTAAATTATCATTGGCCGACGTGAGCAAACCGTTTATTTATTGTCTTTATATGTGCGAAAATATATAAATATGGCAACGTTGCATCTAGGGCGCGTTGTTCATATCGTAGCCGTGCGCAAATTCTGAATAAGCGACTGACGTCAGCCGGTCAGTGACAGCTTAAAAAGGGGGTTAAATAATGAATTAAAAATATTTTTCTTCTGCTTAAATATGCATTTAATTTTTTTTAATCACGCCATCGTATTATACTCATTTTTCTCTATCTGCTCTTAAAATTAATGACATTATGACTGAATCACCCTGTATAAATAAAAGTTAAAATATAAATGGTAATTAATTCATAAGACCTGTAAAAAAATTACTTTTCTTTTCTAGTTTTGGAATTGTTATAGATACATCTCTTTTCTCTAATTACTTCACTCTCTCTGCCAAGTAGATAATCTCTAGTTCAACTATTGGGTTTTAATCTTGATTTTTATATTATCAATAAAAAAATCCTTTGTTTCTTTAATTACATGTCATTATTGTGTAAAAAATAAAATAATATTCTCCAAATGTGTATTATTTTTCATCACATCATTCTAAAATAAACTACGAATCCTTAAAGATTATCGACGTACCTACTTAAGCAATACAAAATTCTTCAGATAAAAAAATTAAATAATAAACCCCTTGACGCAAAAAAATACAAAATACTTCAGATAAAAAAAATAAACTAAAAACCTCTGACGCAAAATGAAAAATATACTACTGACTACTAATAAATACATAATAAATCTGTGGAATAAGTTCTTGGTTCGCAGTTGGTCTTAAATATCTTTGTAATTTTCTAGGATAATATATTATAAGTACTATTTAAATCTTACACACCTTAAAATTCCAAATTCAAAAAAAAAGAGGAACATTAGTAAATAGAAATATAGGGAATAGTAGTAGTGTTATTTTCATCTCCACTATACGCAACCCAAGGGATTAGTAGATATGTCCTTACCATATATCCTGTATATATGTATAACTGAAAATAATTTTATTTTATTTTATTTAGTTTCGTAGCCGCAGAGAACAACCTTACATTCCCGATGGTTTCTTGTTCGGCGTCGCTACGGCAGCCTACCAAATTGAAGGAGCCTGGAATGAAGATGGAAAAGGTGAAAACATCTGGGATCGTTTCGTCCATAGCAATCCCTCAGTCATTAAAAACAATGATACCGGAGATATAGCCTGTAACTCATATCACAAGTATAAGGAAGACATAGCTCTTGCAAAAGAGCTTGGTGTGAACCATTATAGATTTTCCATTTCTTGGTCTAGGTAAGGTTAAATCTTCTAGGTCTGCGTAACATAAAGCCAAGAAAAGCGTATATGTATAACAACAAAAATTTACTAAATATTTGAATAGGTAAACAAAAAAAGTATATTTTTTCTCGATTTTGCATAATTCAGCCAAACAGGGAAAAACAAAACGAGTTCCTTATTGTACATTGAAAGGCAGTATCAATTCAATTTTTGGGAAAAGTCCTAAAACATTGCCTATTTGATGGTTTGTCTGTAGTAGTGCAAGTTAGCAATTTAGAACTATAAAGTGTAGATGAGATTAGTTAATCACACAGAACAAGAAAAAAAAATTATATACTTCTTAACAGAATATGATACCCCCTTTATTTTGATCTGCTGAAGAAGATGGAGCAATCAGAAATAGCTCAAAACCAACTGTTTTTTGTTAAAATTGTTAAGATTTTGAAATTAAAGTATTTACACAGACGCAGACCTATTAACAGGATCAAATATTTCTAATCCTGCACTTTTTTCTCTAAAGTACCTCTTTATGGAGTTACAGTTATTTGAACTAATTTTAAACATTAAAATGAATATAACTCCATTTAGTTTTTATCAGAAAACTTCGGGAACTTGAAACATTTTCCTTCTTTATTTAAAGCTCTTAAAAACTGTTTCATTAAACCAAATTTAATATGTAATGGCGGAAGAAGAACCTTTGATGGATCTATCGCATTGACAATATTTTTTGTTCTTTTTGGTCATGTTTTCTTCTTATAATGGTTTTTCCTATTTCTACTATCCCATTCGCATAAAAAGCGAGAATATTTTGTGTACTCTGCTTGTTGTCCAACTAGTTATCTTTTAATTCTCTACAAACTCGCCATTTGTGAATATCATATTTTATCCTATCTAAAACCAATTTTCGTACATCTCTTTTAGCGTTACTAAATGTATTATAGGTATAGAAGAGAAATTATTTGTATTATGCAGAAAAACTCCCTTTAGATTACTTTTAGAGCAATCTATGAACATTTTCCATTATTCTCCCTTATAAATATTTCATTCGTCAGTCCTTGAATATTTGTACAATATACGTATACTAATGAATATTCTTCATCCCAAGAAAAATACTTTCAAAACTCGTATTCCCGCTTTCGATATACAGTACTTTTTGTTCCTTTAATCAGACCTCCCCTAAGTAAATTCAGAATACGGATGAGGTCATTAAGTTCTTGTATCCATTGTTCCGAAATCTTCTTCTTTTTGGCATTTGGAATATAATCCTCATCATTTTTTTTCTCTAAAATACATTCTTGAGGAGTATGGTTAATTATAAATAAAAAATTGTTATGCATGTAGTGAAACTTATTTTTTAACTAAACCAAATATGGATGGAACAGTGCAAATGATCAACAGTACAAATAAATCATTAAAACGTTCAAATAAAGTTTTAAACAATATTCGTTGCCATATTAAATAATTTCCTAGTGAAGAAACAATCACTATAGTTTAAACTATTCAGAAAAAGTTTATTCGTGCGAAAAGAAATGTACCTATGCAATGTTTACAGAAAAAAATCCACATATCTGTCTTATATGAATCATATAGAAGTATATTTAACAATAAATTTAATACTTATGGGTTTTTGTCACACGTATGCTTTTAATTAATAATTGTAGTTTATGAATATTAATTTTGAAATATAGAAAATTGGCAAATGTCAAATTTTTATCTTTGCAATTATCCTGGTTCTTCCCATATACCCTTCATTTATTTGTGTTTTTTTTTGTTTTTGTATTTAGAGTTAAATATTTTTGTCCAAATATGTTATTACGGTATTATAACTAGAGCAAGATTTTTGCATGCTAAATTAGTAATAATTAAATGAATTATTAAATTAGTAATAATTTAACTGTCTTATCAAGCTTGATTTTCAAGGTAAATTCAACTGTGCAATCAGAAGTTTGATACTTTCACAATTTTCCAGTAACTCTTAGTATTTTCAATGATATCCGTGTCTGTGTCACTAGGGTTGGTTTTTCACCTCCTAATAAATTCATTTGTTAATTAAATATGTGTGAAAAAACGTATAAAAAAGTGACAATCAATTCAACACACCATTTCAATAATTCAACTAACCAATTAAATTTATAATTGAAACACAGGGTCCTAAATGAATTAAAATAAAAACTGTCGAGTATGAATCATTGTCGTTATCATTATCATTATTATTATTATTAAAACTATGGATGTAGATATAATAGACGGAGAGATTGGTGTCAAAATCTCCCGTGATCGGATTAATGGCCAATGTTTTAATGTGTAGGTCGTATGTTGTATAACAGGGTTTCAGAGTTTGCTGACACCCCTTGTTGGGCAGGGGTTGGGGGTGCGGGAGTAAATATGAAAATCGCCCCGTGATCAGATTAATGTCAGCAACTCATAATATATATTCTAGACCTTCGGGGGAGTACTAAAATGAAAGTTGCTGACAGCCTAGTCGGGGCAGGGGCGTTTAAAACGAGGTCAAATGTACCACTTTCCGAGCGCGCAAATTGTATGCGTAGTCCAGACGGTATCTGTTTCGGGTTGGGTAAAACGTATTTGATCGGAAATTTTTGCTTTAACGGCTTCCAAATAACATCAGAAATGATAATTTTTCTATGCAAATAAAAAAACGTGGATTTAATTGTTATTGCAAAAAAGTATAAAAAAATTGCAAAATAATTCATATTTTTCTTGGATTTCTCGTCGACAACTTAGCAACTATTCATTTTAGACAAAAATGGAAGAGGAAAAAAGTTTTGTAATTAAATTTTGATCAAGATAGAGTTAGTTGCAATTCGAAAAAATAAATATTGTTATTGCAAAAATCGGAATAATCAATTAAAAAATTGCAAAAAATGCTAGTTTATTTGTTAATTTTTTTCAGACACTTGAATAATACCTAGAATCTTCATACTTTTCCCAATTAAACTTCTTCTGCATAGAATCATCACACCAAATTTCATCCAATTCGGTTCGATAGTTTTTACATAATAATTGTTTAAAAAATTTTTTTTTAATTAAAAGATTTTCAAAATCAAATTCCTAAAAATCCAAAGCTTTTGAATACTTGAAAATTTCACCACAAAAAGAAGAGCTCTCAAGCTTTAAAATAATTTTTGAAAAATTCAAGGAGGACGATTAGGTGAGCCGTGGTGATTGTTTAAACATTTTCGCAATTTTCACGCTTATAAAAAATTGCAATACTTAATTAATGTTTTTTTCAAATTTTTTTTAATTTTAAAATATGGTTTGAAAGTACTCGGAAAGACGAGTATTAAAAAAAAACCTGATGATCCGCCCATTATTTTCGGGCGTCTTATTTAAAATGCCACTCAAAGATATTCAAGACCGCGTGAAATCAATGAAATATCAGTGGTGGGGGAGGAAACACCCAGCTACCCCGATCTGAATTCTCGAGTTCAAAAATGCTCAGAGTACTGCACCCATTGCCAAGGGCAAATGTGTAAAAATGCTTACAAAACAGTGGAAGTAGACGAGTTAGAAATCGATTTTGAAGAAGATATGTCGGAAGAAAGTGCAAGTGAAGTCGACAATCAAATTTCAGAGTCGTTAGAAAATGATATTTTGCAGTTGCGGGACGAGGAAATCGACGACGAAATAGATTGTGATAATACTGATGAGGCATGTGAATTAGAATTAGATTAGATTAAATGTAAATAAAAATTGAAATAAATAGTTTAAAATTTGAAAAATTATGAAAAGTGTGTACTGTTTATTGAAGTATCCAAAAGATTCTTATACTTTTTTATATATAAATAAAAAATAAATTTTAGATAAATATTTTAAAAGTAAACGAAAAAATTAAAATTATAATTATTCACAATTTATTTTTTTTGAAAGATTTTTAGAAATTTATCGTACAACTAAAAATTAATACCAATTTTCAGTTGTTTATTTAAATAATTATTGTTTAAACAATTTTATAATATTTAAACAAACTTACTAGTATTACCTGGTGCAACATGCAAAAATTTTGGTCGTGAATATTAACATAGTAAATAAATAAACATAATAAATTAATCATTTTTTAAAGTAACTGTTTATCGGCATGTCAAAAGTCCAATAATTAATAATAAAAGGTAGTTGAAAATATGATAATTGAATTTTTTAAGTTGCGAGACATCGATTTAAAAAAAAATCATCGAAATTGGTCCATTAGAAGTTGAGATAAGTGAAATTTTTCCGAGCGTCGCAGTTTTGAACTCGAGAATTCAGATCGGAGTAGCTGTGTGTTTGCTCCCCCCACCACTGATACCTCATTGATTTCACGTGGTTTTGAATATCTTTGAGTGACATTTTAAATGGGACGCCCGTGATTGCAAATTTTGAAAACTTATATCTGGAATGTACTCAAAATGACAAACATATTAGTTAAAAAACAGCCCTTATACCCTTATAGTTTTGTTGTAAATAAGGGTTAACTTTAACAGGCTATAACTCCAAAAGTAATGGGCGGATCATCAGTTTTTTTTAAATATTCGTCTTTCCGAGTACTTTCAAACCATATTTTAAAATAAAAAAAAATTGAAAAAACATTAAATTATTGCAATTGCAAGAGTGAAAATTGCGAAAATGATTAAACAATCACCACGGCTCGCCTAATCGTCCGATTTGAATTTTTCAAAAACCATTTTAAAGCTTGAGGACTCTTCTTTTCGTGGTGAAATTTTGAAGTATTCAAAGGCTTTAGATTTTTAGATATTTGATTTTAAAAAATTTTTAATTTGAAAAAAAAATTAAACAATTAGGTATTATGTAAAAACTATCGAACCGAATTGGATGAAATTTGGTGTGATGATTCTATGCAGTAAGAAGTTTAATTGGGAAAAGTTTGAAAATCCTAGATGTTATTCAAGTGTCTGAAAAAAATTGACAAATAAACTTTGTAATTTTTAAATGATTTTTTCGATTTTTGCAATAACAATAATAATTATTTTTTCGAATTGCAACTAACTCTATCTTGATTAAAATTTAATTACAAAACTTTTTTCCTCTTCCATTTTTGTCTAAAATGAGTAGTTGCTAAGTTATCAACGAGAAATCCAAGAAAAAAATGAACTTTTTTGCTATTTATTTATACTTTTTTGCAATAACAATTAAACCCACGTTTTTTTTATTTGCATAGAAAAATTATCATTTCTGATGTTATTTGGAAGCCGTTAAAGCAAAAACCTCCCATTATATGCGTTTTACCCAACCCGAAACAGATACCGTCTGGACTACGCATACAGTTTGCGCGCTCGGTAAGTGGTACATTTGACCTCGTTTTAAACGCCCCTGCCCCAACTAGGCTGTCATCAACTTTCATTTTCGTACTCCCCCGAAGGTCTAGAATATATATTATGAGTTGCTGACATTAATCTGATCACGGGGCGATTTTCGTATTTACCCCCGCACCCCCAACCCCTGCCCAACAAGGGGTGTCAGCAAACTCTGAAACCCTGTTATACAACATACGACCAACACAGTAAAAACAAAATTGGCCATTAATCCGATCACGGGGGATTTTGACACCAATCTCTTAGACTATAAGGACACAAATATCTATTTTGAACTCAATATTGTAACGTGACTTTTGTGTTTCTTTATTTGAATACGCCCTACAGATACATCTTAAAAAAGTGTATTGAATAGGTACTTTTTAAAATTTATCGTATTAAACTTTAACTGGTATATTTGCAAATGATCCTAACACTTATTAGTAATTAGTAATTATGTATAATTTGTTATTTGACATTATCTGAAATAATTTTAGAATATTACCTACTGGTTTTGCTGATAAAATCAACATCAAGGGGATTATGTACTACCAAAATTTAGTAAACGAAATAGTGAAACAGGGCATGATACCTGTTGCCACCTTGTACCACTGGGATCTTCCTCAACCCTTGCAGGACATCGGGGGATGGACGAATCCAGAACTAGTTCACCACTTCCTCAGTTATTCTCGAATAGTAATACAGAACTTGAACCAAGTTGGATACTGGACAACTTTCAACGAACCCCGGCCAATCTGCCAATATGGATACGGTCTAGGAGTCCTTGCTCCTGGTATAGCCCTAGATGGTACAGGCGAATATTTGTGCGCGTATGTCTTGGTAAAAGCGCACGCTGCTGTGTATCATATGTATAAAACAGAATTTCCAGACTCCAAAGGTAATATTGCTAAACATTGTTATTTATTAAGTAAATATTATTAATATTGTATTTTTCTCTCCTCGGTTCTTCCTGCGTATCCGCGGCTTATTTTGATGTCGATTTTTTCTCTTTTTCTTAATTAATTTTTCTTTTCCAAAAGTTTGAACAGAGATACAACGTGCGATTAACGGTCATCGAAGAAAATCTGAACGTTAGGGAAGATTTCAAATAGAATTTTGCATTTGGAAACGTCTCTCGGGACGCTCAGTTCGCGGTGGGTCGTTAGATGAAAAAAAATTAATTTAAACATTTCAAAATTTGCATTTACTTCTGTTGTTAAATGTTGAAATACTCGATATACAGGCAGCATACCGAGAGACCGTCTCTCAGTTTGTGAACGCCCAATTATAAACTCTTCAAATTTTTATTTTTTGTGTCCTCTTCCACTCTATTTATTTAAATCTTATACATAAACATTTTATATTTGGAAACCAGAAGCCTGCTTGAAACTTTTTAAATAAAATTTGCCTGGGTTCGAACCGCTGCTTCGGACTCTCTTTAGTCATTTTACATTTTTCTATTTTATTTATTGAAGTTCGTTTAAAAATTTAATATTTACCGATCAAATGTCTTTATATACAAGGTACCTCATATAATGGACACGGATTACAATCGGATGAATTTTTAGTTATTTAACTTTTATTTATTAAAGTTTTGGTTGACAAATTTTATATTTACTGACCATATGCCTGTTTTAAACATAATATACAGATCGCTTCAAAAAATTGAAAAGGAAAAGATTCAACACAGACAAGCTTTTTCTACTTTAATTAATGAAGTTTTTAGAAGAATTTTATGTTTACTAAATTCCTTTTTGAAACTTAATATACAAGATATTTCGTAAAATAGTGGGGTATCATCGTGGGCGAGCCAGACTTTTTTATATTCTTACTTTTTTCAATTTCTCGAAGTTTTGAAGAAACTTATTAGATGCATTTTTGTTAATTTATATACAAAGTGATTTATAAAATTAATTCGTGCTATGATCTTAGACGAGTCAAACTTTCCCTTACTATTTTTACAGTTTCTCTATTTTGTTTAAGTCTATTCTGAAAAGGTTTATATTCACTAACTGGATAGATGTCTTTTTGAATATTTTTGTACTGGATGTTCCACAAAATTGATCCAGGTCAGAATATTTCTCCTTTGCTTTTTCCACATTATTTACTGAAGCCAATTAATAAAATATTATATTTACTTACCAGATGACTTTTTGAAACTTTATATAATTAATATTAGTTAAAATTTAATAAATAATAAGTTAATGTAATAATACGTAATATAAAAAAAATATCCTAGTTACTTTTTAAGGCCGTTACAATTTTATTTTCATTTAAAATAAACCTTCGACATAGCTGAATAAATAAAAAAGAACTGAAAAAAGTTTTCGAACGTGCTATTCTGTGTTTTTATAGTATCTAGAATTTCGAAACTAATTGTTTATTTTCTCAGTGTGACATATTTCTGGATGAAATAAACTGTTTGTCTTATTCTTTCACAGAAAAATGTATTTACTTTTTCTTCCTTTTCAGTATGTTATCAATATTATCAATTAAATTAGAAAATTAGATAGTAAAAAATGCCGGAAATAAATATTTACAGACAATATATTATTAATATGGATTTATTTTAAATAAAAATATAGTTGACTTAAACCAAAGTAAATAGATACGCTTATTTAAACAATTTAAAACCTCAAATTTACTTTGTATTTGACTGATTCTGACAAAACTGACAAAAACATTGATTACTAACCTTCTCGAAAATGGAGCATATTATTTATATTGAATAAGAGCACCTTTTGTGTCATTTAGGATTCTTTTTCAGAGTACAATTTTAATTACTAATTAAAATGAAGTATCAACATCATTTTTAATATGTGTGCACTAAAATTAACTAAAATTAATTACCTACTGTTTATAAAAAGAAATTTGTTTTTTTATTACTCGTATAATGGATATTAAATATGTATATTTTTTTATGTTGCAGCTAAAATGTCAATAACGATTGATGGTGAATGGTCCGAACCAGCTAGTGACAAAGAAACTGATAAAGAAGCTGCAGAAAGAAGGAATCAGTTTGAGGTAATGATAATATTAATGATAATAAATTTGTATGTGAGATATACCTCCTATACAGTACGTCATATCTTAATCTTAGAGCGACTGTAATGTGGTACAGGGTTGCAGGGTACTAGCATAATATAGGTTACTACTGTTTATTTATTTGATTGTTGCCACAAAGTTTCCGATATCTACTACTGGTAGTACTGCATACCGAAAGAAATGAGCTTATTAGACTGTTTCTTTAACAGAAAATGTTTAACGCATATTAAAACTTTTATATCAAATATTCAAAGTTTTATTTAAAGAAAACTCACCTCTATACTCATTAATCAACAAATTTAACTGGAATGCACTTAATAAACATTTTTTTTTATTATTTATAAAGTTATACAGAGTGTGTCATTTAACACTACCGCTGAAACAAAATATTCTTTTAAAATATTGTTATTCACACCACATATTAATTAATAAACCACTATCACGGTTTCGCAATCGGCCTCGCGAACGCGATCTAGATGTCCTCGTCGTCGGTCGCAGCGGTTCACTCTTTGTGAATAGCTTCGCCATTGCCTGCGACATCTCCACCAACTGTTTCTCGATGCAATCCAGCCTGTCGTCTTTTGGACGGATATGATTTTCGACGTAGTTTTCTTGTTTGAGGCTCATGTTTGCTTGCTGCATTATGCGAAATAAAAACCACCGTAATTGCACAAAAAATCGCGTACTTTCACTAAACGACGATTGAAAGATCGCGTCGGTTGAAAAATCAAGTCGATTGAAATAACACGACGGCTGAAATATCAAAACATGAGGGTTGCTTGCGATATGCAGCTAAATAAAACTCTTTCCCAACAGTAAAAACAAAAGTATTTTTATTGAAACAAAGTTAGTGAAAAAAAAGTATTGTCGGGGAGAGCGTTCTCTGGAGAGTCCTGGTGTATATATCTGGTCCTGGATCCAATCTGCCGTGGACCTTTCCTAGAACCCTGGGTACGTCCCGCGTCTGTTCTTTGTCCTTGCAACTATTAGGCGTCAGGCTGGCGCTCTTCACGTAATACTTAAAATGGGCACTGTGTTATGTCTATTTGTATAAACTATACTTTCTAATAGTTTGCAACCTTTTATTATTCGACCGATTGTTTCGGCCAATAAACAGCACTACAAATATCATTTGTGATGGTATCGTCCTTTAAAATACGTTTCTTTATACGCGTTTGTTGCTGTGACTTGATCTTGAATTCCAAGTATAAAACCCTCAGTTTCTATGAAGCGGATTGGATGACCAGTTTATTTTCTATTCTCTTCCATTGAGTTGAAGATGAAAGACTGTCAATATGTTTAGAGGTGTGCAAATCTATTCGTACTGTAGCCCTATGTAATGAGTGTTATTTATTATAGAAGTAGGATCTAAAGGATTTTATTTGTTTGATGCAAAGTTCTTGAAGGTCTATAATCCCTCTCCCTCCTTCTTTTATACTTAATGTTGTTCTTTTTTTACATGAATTGGGGTGTAGTTTTCTATTTTTCCTTTTCGTTTATTGTTATTGTTATTGTTATTTTATTATTATTATTACTAATAGTACTAATAATAAAATAATAGTAATAATAATAATAATAATAATAATAATGTCCCACTTATAACTATGTTTGTATATTTGGACACAAACAGAATTCTTTAACAGAAATGTTTTTTTTTAGAAAATAACAAATAATTCCCTCTTGTCAATTCCATTCGTGGATACAGTCTGTATGATACTATAAGCACTTTTTTTTCAGTTTGGATTATACGCTAATCCGATATTGAATGGAAACTGGCCTCAGGTGGTAATAGATCGTGTAAAGTATCGCAGTGAAAACGGGAATTACTCAAAATCACGCCTTCCCGAGTTCACCACAGAAGAAATCGCGTATATTAAAGGCACCTATGATTTCATCGGTATCAACACATACTATACTACCCTCGTTGCCGATGCCGTTGAGGTTGATTTTGCCACGACCAGTTATGCGAACGATGTCAGGGTTACCACATCTGCAGATCCTTCATGGCCTGTCGCACCAAATGGAAATACGGTAATATTTGTCAAAATGACAAGGGAGCTTTCTAACAATGAAACAATAGCTTACAATTTTTTTAATAAATTTCTCGTAATCTCCTCGGTTTATGTTCCTACCTCAAGAGATGCACTTTTTTCACCTTATAACAATTGAAACCATTTTTACGTAATATCCTTCTTGTACTATCCTTCTGTAAATTGTAGTTTACTTCAGTCTGTCACTGTTTTACTCATTTTCCCTGTTTACACAATTTAAAATTCTGTTAACAACAGCTGATTTTCTTGCCCTGTCCTTCTTAAGAAATCCATATCAGCGAAGGTTTTCTATATTCCGCAAGTGCTTGAATAAAATTAAAATTGCATTGATAGTACAATACAAACATAATACACTTCTCAATATGTAAGAAAATATAATTATTATTCAAAATTATAGTTTTCCAAATCACACTGAACTGTAACAATTTTCCAACCAACAGTTTTGTATAAACTATCACAATAAATAATTTATTAAATGACGACATTACTGGCATAACACATTTGTTTTCATAGCGTGCTACATTTAGCGTAAGCTACTTTGTCTGTGCAAGAACAATGTTGAAGGCTCAGTTTTCTCTAAAGTAAAAAAACAATATTATAATAATAATGTGAAAAGAATATCTATATTTTGCTTAGAAGTACATTATATTTATTAAATTTTTTGTAGTTGACGTATTTACAAAAATTTCTACGTTAACACAAAAATGTTTATATTTTTTATACCAAAAATGTAAAAAATATCGCATGAAAGGAAAAAACAAGCAATTTTTTGTAGCCACAGCCTGCTTCGATGACAATTTTTTTTGCCCGCGTAAAGGGCGCAGCACATTACATACGGTACATTAAAAATCTGTTTACACTAGGTGAAAGATATCAATTTTGCCATGAAATTTTATTAAAATAAGTTTTCTCTATGTCTTAAAATAAGAAAGTTAGACGATCCTATAAGCTTTCGGTACAAACAAAGTTGATCACGGATCTCAAATTTGTTTTTACAAGCATGAATGCTTCAAAAATACAACAAAAAACATAATACAAAGATTTTCGATGTGTGTCGTATTTAATATACGAGATCCATCCATAGGAGTGGTCGTCTTATAGTAGACAGCCTGTATACATATATTACTATACAGTGCGTCCCAGAAGTAACGCAAAAAATTAATATTTCATTTTGTGTTAAGTTTTCACAAAAACGCTAAAACACGTCAATTAGTAAATTAGAATTGTCGTTTTTCACGTTGCTTAAACCTTTTTTGCGCTATGTTTCATAAACCTATGACGTCATCGACATTTTTTTAAATAGCACCACCTAATTTTTTAAGCATAAATGGATAGTCCTTTTGAAGGGAAATACGTCGATATAGGGTTTGGCCTACTTTACTTTGACAGGAGCGGAAAAAAGCCAATGACTGGAATGGACATGGTTTAAAATAACAACAAAAGTAGGTATCATAAACTGATGCGAGAACAGTGCCACAGTATAAAATGGAAATTTGGGGATGTTTTGTGTTTTGGTTGATTGTAGGTACGTTTTTATGTACTGATATGTTGGCATTTGCGGCGATACGACGAATGGCAATGTGTGGATTTTCAGTGACAGCTAAACATAACATTTTGCCTATCATTTTCTGTCACTGTCGTTGGCCTTCTAGATCTAGACACATTTCTAACATGGCCAGTGTCTTCAAATTTGGGTACTAATCTGCATACTGTACACGGAGGTATTGGTTGTTCTGGATACTTGGCATTGAATAATTGACATATTTCATCATAACTACGGATCCTATATCTCCGTATTCAACCATAATTAGGATTTCAGTTCTTTGTTTCTCATGTAAACACAACACCATCGTAATGTAAAGTTATGGTATTTGTAACTGTGATAATGATATGAGGCACTATTGCATTCGCTAACTGTCGTCTTCAGAACAATGCCTACATAGCCACTGTGATCGGCTGTACCTACCCAATCTACATAAAAATGTGCCAACAATCAACCAAAACAGATTTTTTGCTATAGCACTGTTCGCGCATAAGTTTGTGATACCTATTTTTGTTAATAATTCAAACCATGTTCATTCCAATCGTTGGCTTTTTTTTCGCTCCTGTCAAACTAAAGTAGGCCAAACCCTATATCGACGCATTTCCCTTCAAAAGGGCTATCCATTTATGCTTAAAAAATTAGGTGATGGTATTTAAAAAAAATGTCGATGACGTCATAGGTTTATGAAACATAGCGCAAAAAAGGTTTAAGCAACGTGACAAAACGACAATTCTAATTTACTAATTGACGTGTTTTAGCGTTTTTGTGAAAACTCAACACAAAATAAAATTTGAATTTTTGCGTTACTTCTGGGACGCACTGTATATTAAAGGCTTGTTTGCTTTAAAAATAATAACAGTGTTTAATATTGCCTAGCTAATAATAAATCATTTTTCAAACTTAGATTGTACCTTGGGGAGCTAGAAAATATTTGAAGTGGGTAAAAGATACATACAATAACCCGGAAATTTTAATCACGGAAAATGGCGTCTCTGATGACGGCAGTACTTTGGAAGACGACGACAGAATCAACTTTTATCAGGTACGATTTATTTCGGATGCATAGAATAATAAAGAATCAAAAGTTCTTTAATTACTATTGTCAACAGGACTATCTTAAAGCAATACTTGATGCAATGTATGAAGACGAAGTAAAAGTATTTGGATACACTGCATGGAGTTTATTGGATAATTTCGAATGGATAAGTGGATACAGGTAGGTAACAACTTTTTTCTAAGGATATAAGACTTTAAAAATACAAAGAGAAATTTAACGATATATGAAAGAAATATGTCTGCTTTTTTGTACAAAATATATAATACTCCAATCTCTCATCTCATCCCAAAAAAAAACGAATACGAAATTTCACGAAAAGATATTAAAGAAAATGTTATTTATTTTTTCAACTTTGACACCCTGTTGCTCTGTTATTATCGATTTTTGTACTAAGGCAGGAATTTGTTAACAATCGGTCTAATTTTTGGAAAATCACAAATAAAATAGTTATGTATGTATGTAAAATGCAAACATGCAGTAGCTAGGCTATGTAACATATCAGTTTAGTTGAAACCCCCTGAAATTTTCAAATCTCGACGCCTATATTCTGAAGTATGTATATGCTATTTATTCATTTTATATTCTGCCTTGACATACAGGTATGTAGAAACAAAATATAGCAAATACAATCCCGAATGACATTTTACAGTGCCTACTTTTACAATATTTTTTCATATTTCACTGAATTACCTTCTTGAATATTTTTAGTGTACATTTTGGACTCTACCACGTAAACTTTACGGATCCGGATAGGAAAAGGACTGCAAAAAAATCAGCAAGCTATTACAAAGCCGTAGTTGCCAATCATATGCTACCAGATATTGCAACGACTACAAGTTAGAAACCAGAAAGCCAGAGACTACCACTCATGGTTCTGCTGATAGAATATTCATTCTATCAGAATATTTATCAGGATATTTAGTTCCTATACCTTATTAGTAGTAATATTTTGGTGCCGCTTCAAATATTTGTATAGTTTGATCAGCATTAAAAGCAAAACCATACCTATTGTTGTTTTAGTATTTTATATTATATTTGGTACTTTTACTGTTATATTACTAATTATTTGCCAGAAAGTTAAAGAAATACTTACTTGTATATTTTATATGTTTTATTTAGATAACTTGTTTTGACTAAAATTTTAAATACTTTATAATAATGTTTATAGTAATACATATGTTAGTAGAAATATTTTTAAATATTCATTTAACTGTTGTAATTTGTAGGCTTTCATATATAAAAAATACTAAAACCGAAATTTAATTCAAATATTTTTAATAAATAATAAATAAAATTTTTAATAACTATGTATGCTTCTCTTCATGAAGGTAGTAAGAATAATGTCAAAAATAGGTTATTTTTTAAACTTTGTTTATTTATTATATTTATAAGTGTCAATATTTGTTGTGTGACTATAACAAGATAGTCACTGGTAGTAGCCTTGCCTTATAGATTTCAAAATGGAAATGTATAAAATACACAACGTTATAAATATTAGAATGTGAAGAAAATCGGCATTGGCTTATACAATGCAAAAAGCAGTATTCCGCTAAGGTGAACGTTTGCTGTGGCATTTTAAATCTAAAAATCATCGGGCCTTACTATTTTGAAGGAAATTTAAATGCGGATGGTTTTTGAGATTCCTACAAAATTAATTTATTGACGAAATCGATAACTTGTCTCTAAATGTTCGTATTTATTTACATGTACAGCTGGATCTGCTTCAAGGTGTACACCCCAGTGATCAGATAACAAAGTAGGTATTCATTGAAAATGTTCGTAGACTTTGAGAATCAGTCTTCTAAGAAAATGGACGTTAAAATCTCCTGAAACAAAAAACATACCACCTTCTCTACATAAAACATCCAAAGCTAGTGTAAGCCTGTACAAGAATATATCAAAGTCTCTCTTAGGAGATCTGTATACTGTCATTAATTTAATATTATCCGTTTCAATATTGCGCAACGCATCTCAACTGAGAAATTTGTTGTCTGCTGTATTTCTTTATAGATTGTGTAAGATGAATTTGCATAAATAGCTGCACCTCAATGTTCTGAATTCGCTCTACAATATTTTAAGACAAGATTATAGTTTGGTATACCTACTTACAGAATCCAGATTATCGCTGGAGCACCAATGTTCACAAATTAGTAGAAAGTTATATTTGTTTTCATTTAATAAACTCGCTCGTTTTGTTACGAATGCTTTGCACATTCAGATGCATCATTTTGAAGTTAAATTTATTTACATTTAGTGCAACAACTAGATTATTATCTATTTCCCTAAAAGAGCATTATAATCATGAGACTGATTTGTTTTTTCTAAGGTGGATCTTCTGATTATTTTACAAAACAAGCGGAGTTTTTAGTAGCTATAATCGTATTGTTACAAAAATATAGTAATACTGTCAAAAATATATATGAAATTTAAGAATTATCAGTGTTAAACGATATTTGAAAATATTATTACTTACAAAATAAAATGGTATTGGGTAAAATGATTACATATTTGAACTATTAAATCGAAGGATTCCTGTCTCATTCAAAAAATGAACAAACTGTAACAACTAGTAAATACAAACTAAACTCGACAGAATTGTTAGAAAATTATGAATTTCACCACACTTTGTTTTTGTCAATAAGGTTTGCGATTATTTAATGGGATATAGCCTGATTTGATAGTAATATGGATAACTGGAGATGGCTGAATTTGAAAGTAATGTTGAAATATATTCTTAAATAACCTGGGGTTTACTTTGGATTGTGATGATATTTAAAGGTACGTACAGAGCCTTCATAAATGAATGCAAGCCACGTGACCAATAATTTTGTTTGAAACAGTAAATTATAGTTAAATTAAAAATTATTAAAACCATATGAGCAAGGCATTCAATCAATCAGAGATTGGATTATCTCGAGTGTAGATGCAATGGTTTGTTACTGTTGATTGTTAATGTGTGTCTTATTGTTTTAATCATTTTCTGCCATCGTTTTATTGTTTCCTATTTGCTATGTACATACATTTAAGTCATCGGATTACTGTAAGTGATAAGAGAATCAAAATTTTGAAGTTAATACAAATTTTTTTCAGAACGTTTTTACTCCAGAACAAGATACATTATTTTCGAAACGGTGAAGAAACATTAACTATGACAATTTCTTAAACCGGAAATGTGCTATTGTCAAAAGAATTGAAACCAAACACTGCATTTGCAAAGGAAAATCTACGCAGACCAACTGTACCTACAGAAAATGTTGTCGATAATATACAGCAACGAATAAATCAAACTCCTACAAAATCAATATCAAAGCTGTGTAATGAAACAGCAAATTTTTTGTTAAGTTCGTGCAAATATTATCAAATTTAGTTTGTGTAAAATATTTTAACTTTGAAAATTTTGTTCGAATTTGAGATTAGATTGTAGTATAGTTAATATCCCAAAATTTTCATTTTAGGGCTTTCACTTGGAACATCTCATAAAAATTTAAAAAACAACTTCATTTACACCCATACAAGGCAACTGTTGTGCAGGAATTACTTCCCATAGACTATGAAAACGATTACAGTACTGTGAGTGGTATATAAGACTGCCATTACTTAGAGTAACCATAAATGAACAAAAAAGTTCTATATTATAGATATATTAGAGGGGCATAAGATTAACAGTTTTCAAAATACAGCGAGTATTAACATTGGGGAGTTTCATCACAACGTGACAACAGCGCTTAACCTGCTGAAGCGCACCACCTGTACACGCGGCAGACTTGTCCTACGGAAAAAATGTAAACAGCTATTAATGTGAACCATTTAGTAAATTTCAAGACGATTGTTTTCCAGTCTTTAAATAAGTAAAATAAAAAATATCGATTTTGTAGTACCTACTAAAATAGTGTTGTGCTTAAATTTTAGCTCGAATTTTAGTAATTATGAATCTCTTAAAACAGGAACTTACCTTTTAATCAAATTATGTATTTGAAAAATATATATATATAATTAAAGTACCCAAAGATTCACATCGTCCAAATAATCAAAGAGTATTAAAAATAATTTAGGTACTTACCAAAAAGCAAAATTCAGTCATTTTTAAACGCACAAGTATAAAACAAACTACAACATATCGTCCCTATTATCACGTAGACGTAAAATAAAAATATCCTACAATAACATTTCAATGTTGCATGGTGACTTATAGTTCATAAAACACTAACGATAAGTTTATTCTTCTGTATGTAGCAAGGATCTAAAGAATTCCTGATATTCTGGTATTTTCACAACTGGAGGTCTCTCCTTGACACAGTGAAACTAAATACATTTTTTGGATTATACGCCCTACGTGATAAGAGGGACAATATGCTCAAAATGTCCACCACCATTTTCGATGCACGCACGACACCTTCAAATTCAACTTTCGCTCACTCGCTGGAAAACACCTCAAGAAAAGGAAATATTGGTACGTAAAAAACACTCCGACACTGTCGAATTCAGATACCAACAGAATCGCGTATTGCTGGTTGCTGGATACCTTAGTACCTCTGCCGTTGTCACATTCTATCGTCTGTTAGAATTAAGGCAGTCAAACTTCTAACACCCTGTAAAAAACGTGAATAATAATTTGTTGAACTCGCTGACGAAGCATGTTTTCGCATATCAGGTTATGTAAATAGCCAAAAGTATAGAACCTGGGCTGCAGAAAATTCTCATATATTTGTAGTTTGGGTAGCGACGTCAAGAAGACGTAAATTAATGTAAACTTTTTCGTAACGCTATTTTATTTACAATAAAAAGTAAACTGTCTTTTATCTTGTATTTAAATAAAAATCAGTAAATTGCAATAGGTTCACATCATCTTTTTGCTTTCATGGTAAAAATTTGCAATTTGTTTATTAACAAGTGAAGTCTGATAGTTTCTTCCTCTTAATAAAGATAAATGCATTTCAACGAAAAAAATATGTATATTGTAACGAATTGGAAATGTACACAAAGAATCACGAATGAAAAGTTACCTGACCGAACTTTGGATCATAAATAAAAATTAATTATTAATAAACAAACAATAAAATAGTATACAATTGTTAATATAAAGATTCTGAATATAAAATAAGTAACAATTAAGAATATCACATAGTATTCATCACATTGATAATTTTAATTTAATTCACAAGCACAAAATAAATTTTTTTAAAAATGCAGAACATCGATACTTGTTAACACTCAGTACAGTGAAAAAACAGAATTTAAACCTAGAGTGACGTTTATCAAATAAAAGTCCAATATCCATAGATGAATCTGGTAAGCATATTTTGGAAAGACGAGTAACTGTATAGAAAATATCTTAAATGAACTTAAGTCATATATGAAATTTTTATTATCAAATGTCAAATTAAATTATAATTTTTATCAAATGTCAAAGCTAAAGTTGGCAAAAGAACATAAAATAAGGAATATTTTAATAATTAGTAATAGAATTGTATGTTAAAAATAAAAGGACATTTGTAACAAATGTATTAGTTATAAGAAGTGCAGTGAAAAGTGTTGTTAAAAAAAGGACATCCAAGGACTGGAATTTCTGTGAAGGGACCTTAAAAAAAATTAAGACCAGAAAAATCCAGAAAAAAGGAGAAACAAAAGTTTATTGATTAGTTACGGCTTGGGTTTTGTAAAAACTAGAAAAGAGAGAAGCAGCTCCAATAAATTTTAAATGAGTTCAAGAAATACAGTCAAGTGTAGTCTTATTGACTTAAATATGAATTAAACTTGATTATGTAATTTATATAACTCAAAGAAATACAGTAATAATGCTGAATATATTATTATGTTTACAAAAACGTCAATCAAATCTAAATCTGACTCTCGCCTTCTATATAACTGTTCGCAACAGATATATCGTCACTTAGTAACTGGACTCGGTCCGCACAAGGAAGTAAATTAAACTCACCAGCAAGATAGAAATTTGTTTGTTCTCAAAATCCAGAGAAAGAAAATTTGCCATCGAAGAAAAAATTTCCGTAACCAGTATAAAGCAGTTTCCATAGAGGTTTCCAGTGGCCCCATAGATGGTATACAGAACATCTACATAGTTTCCAACAAGGAAAGATGCAAATAGCAAATAACAGGTACCTAAAATTGAAAAATAAAGTGCACTATAATAAAACTGATAGCTATAACCTAAAAATAATACATTACTAATGTATTAAACCTTAGAAAAAGGATAAATAATAACAACAGGACTTACCTGAACAAAATTGAATACAAGCAATTTAATCATAGTTTTAAAAAACTCCAAAAATTGTATGAGCTCAGACAAAGTTATAAAAGGGACAGCCATTTTAATTTTAAGATGAAATTCAGTTTGTAAATAATAAGAAAGTATGCATTTTACGATAGGCAAAACACAATACACGGACAAGTAATTAAGATAGCATAAATAACACTAATTGCAAATATAGTAAATTTTTTTTAAATGTGTGCAAAACCATACTTATCGCATCAACTTCAACGTCACTTGTTACGTGGGTGTTGTATAATAATGAAAACGTAATATTGACAGTTGGTAGAAAGCAGCGCAGAAACAAACGCTTAGGTGGGGAATTCTGGACGGAAGCCTAGACAGTAGAAGTGAGAACAGCGCAGAGTGAAAAGTAAGACGATCGGTGCACGGTGAAAATATATAAGTAGTGAAAAATTAAAAGTGTTTAACCGGTATTAGTTAGGGTAATTATTCTCTAAGTACTTTGTTGTTAATTGTTCTATGTAATCTTATGATTGTGATGGTTATAGATGTTTAATGATAATAATTCTATATATATTTAGCCTTCATTGTCTTATGCTCAGGGGCGTATATTTTTCTAACGTAAAATTGTTACAATTATTATTAAAGATTGCTCATTATTTATTACATGTTAAAATATGTATATATTGTCGTGACTGCCCGGATATTACAATAACAACTCATTTGTTTCACATTTAACTTGTTTTGTCATGATTACGTTGTTCGAAAAACAAGTAATAAAGCATTTCTTGTGCTCACTTTATGTCAAGACGCATATAAGGGCCTTGTTGAATTCACTAACATTTTCACCCTTGAGGGACGAATCTGAAAAAAAAGAATAATTAAATACAAAAAAAGAATTGCTAAAACAGATCTTCCGAAATCTAAACTATAGCTGGATTGCCTCCCGTATAGGACTCCAGTACTTTTCGGCCCTGCCGGCTAACTAACACCAAACCTCTTCAGTTTTACTTGGAAGTGTGTTTGTCTAATTCGAGTGAGGTGACATTTAGTGACACATTAAATGAGTCAGGTCTTATTTGTCTTTAGCAAAGGATCTTAATTTATGCCTTTTGTTAGCGGTTGTTTTGTATTTATGTTTGGGTAGTTAGAGCAACGATCGTGGGTTTCTCTGCCATGCTCTTTTCCCACAGGAGCTCTAGGTGAGCCTGGCACTCTCATTTTATGTTAAATGGTTGCTAATGTTTTTATTGTTCTTTCTATTTGTCACATGTTTAATTTGAAGACTGTTGTATGTAAATAATAAAGTTAGGAGTATTTTCTCTGCTTTTGTTTTATAAAATTAAAACATACTTCCCCTCTTTAAAGTTAGTAGCCAGCGCCTTCCGGTCAATAAAAAAATAGATACATACAACGTAGGTATTCCTCATGACGATCACATATTTTTGGCCACAACTACGTATATTTTTTCTTTTCGATCGAACCCGGGGTTGTTATACTACAAATGAAAAGCACAGTCCTTGTATTGTATAAAACTGTAGTAGAATAGAAAAGGTATAAAAATAAATAAAATATTCTTTATTATTATTGTTAAAACAAAAAAATAAATTTAGTATCTAGAGAAGCCATTCACAATTTTAAGTCAACAAGTTGAAGTTTTGTTTTTTCAAAAATCTAACTAAAATTTTAAATAAATATTGTATTAAAAGTTAAAAACTATTTATTCTGGCGTGCTGCATTGAACTAGTTTGTGTATGAATGATATAGAACCGACTCCTGAGATCTCAAATAAAACAAACATCTGAGTAATAGCTAGCAAGGGATAAAGAAAAAGTACAAGGTAAAACAAAAGAAAGTTTTGTATTGAACAATCTACAGTTAATCAAAACAAAAATAAAACATTTAATAAAGAAAAATTTGATTACAGAAACAAAAAAAATAAAATAACGCAACACACAATACATAACACAAAATTGGCAAAATTAATAGCTCATAACAAATACCTAAGTATCTAATACTAAATTATATGTGTTCTGTTATGTTTAATTTCAATAGTTCATGTCAATAAAAATTTAAAAACGATTTTATTTAATTGCATGTAACCCGTTCAACCACTCCACTGAGGTTTAAGGGCTTTCATTTGATATTACCAACCGTATGCTCAACGGTCACGTGACTTGTAAACATTTATGAAAGCTCTGCAGTAAAGTAGACTACATAATGTAATTACTGGGTAATTACACTAGTGGTGAATTTTCCCTTCCTAAAATGTCATCGTATCGAAAAGGGCAAATAGTAAAACGTTTTTCTACATTTTGGTGATTCCCCTACCAGCACGAAAAATAGTAACAGTTAAACGATGAGTACCAATAATTGTAATTAATTTTCAGTGTTTGTACGATTTCAAAAATAATCTAATCTTAAGAGCATTTGGCACTATATAAGTGTATGAAATATGTTGCTGGTTTCTAGTCATCCCAAAGATATAGATTAACAGTGATGTACAAAGCACTGTTAGTGTTTCCGCTCATTTTGACGGTTTCGAGGTGAGTCCACTTCATAAGATATTTCGATAGGCTGATATTATAAAGCAAATTAATTACGTTGAATATTCTAGAATATTCTAGATAACATCCGTCGAATAATGTTAATTTACGATTACTTTTTATGATAGAAATGATAGAGTGATTTTATAAAAATTAAAATTCAGATGTTAGTTAAAGAGTATAAGAATCTATTTTATAATAGTCATAGCGCCGATAACTAACAAGCGATATAATAAACTAAATTTGCAACGGGAAAGTCTGATAGTTATTTATTAATAACTCATATTTACAAAAGGTCACAAAAAATGGGTGGTGCAAAATCCCTTTACTCAGGTCTCTTTGATAAGAAAATGTCGATTCTTTATGCCTCCTAAACAAAAGCACTGTTTGACCCTGTAGAATGAACTGATGGAAGTTGGAATAATTATTATTACTCTCAAGGAATGCTATGCTAAGAGATACGGTTCTTAACTAAAATGAATATTACCATTACCAATTATATATTACCAGTTGCATAACACATCAGTGATGTCCCCTTTCGCATAAAAAAAATGTTCCTAAACACTAAAAGTTACACATTCTGGAATCTGGAGCTACAGCACTTAGGTCTCATTGGGCTCCGTGTACTTCTTACCATTAGGGGATCAATCCATCTGAGCCATTAATCAACCTATTAAAGAGAAAAAGGTGGTGACGCTGCTCAGGGGGAACTGTCTAATATGGACCATAGACGGACCAACGTTCTCCCAACACGGGACTCTCTTGTTGACGACATACATTTACATAGCACATGTAGTACTGCTACTCATCTTCCTGGTCACAACACCTACAAAGAGGTGTTTCACACTTCCTCATGTTGTGAAGGTGCTTCCTTAGCCAGTTTGAATAGCTCTCACCAGGCAAAGATTTGGCTGTGTCTTTGCTGGAGTATTCTAAGAACTTCTTAGCAAATTGACAGCTATTTGTTTCATCCCACCGTTTCGTAAATTCTTTGTGGGTGTTTTCCTTGATAATTTCAATAACTTGACTCAGCATACAGATATGGAGGACTCAGAAGCCAATCAGTGTAAGTCACTTTTCAAATAGAGATATTGAAGGTTTCTTTAAAGATGATGTATGAAATGTATGAATGTATAAAATGTTATATCTCAATAAAAATAATTATTAGGGGAATCTTTATTTCATTACAAGTTTTACAAATAACTAATTTTTTCATTTTCTATATCCAGTGACTTACCCTGATTGACTTCATATGATTGTACAAATTAAAAAGTTTTTATATAATGTTTTGAATATGTTGTATTGTAACACTGTAAGTATTATGTTTCTTTACATTTTTTGTTCTCTTTTTTGTGTTATTGGAGATCTTAAATATGATCAATTTGATGTTGAAAATATATGTATTTGTATGTGAAGATGAGCATCTTTTTTTCATGTTTTATTCTTATAAAATGTTATTATATTCTCTTTAATTTTGGAAACCGCATTCTTATATAATAATAAAAGAAGGTTACATTTACGATGTTATATAAATATTAGTTAGCCAAAGATGAATCAAATTTAATGCTGATTCATGGGCTGATATAAACAGACGATCCTTTATCTTCGACACTTTGTTGTATTACACCCTGTAAACATATTTTAAATAATGTATCTGTTATCTCTTGCGCAATGATGCACTTTAATTTGTAAGTGTCACTTAAAATTATTAATGAATTATGAAAATTTATAAGTACTACTTTATCAAATATGACATTCTTTTTCCTAAAGTCAGACAAAAAATACTTTCGTTTTCCGATTGTTTATTCCATTCTGAAAAATGTTAGGGATACAACATTGAAATGAAAAGCATATTGCATAATTCTAATATTTCTTATCTAGTCAGTGATATACTTGTATATTTAACAGATAAACGTAAAAAGAGAGGAGATAAAATTTGGCACTCACGTTTCTGGTACTATTATTCTAATTCCAGTATATACATAAAAGATTCAGTAATATAAAAACAAATGAAAAAGATTGCTGAAAATATTATTTTCCAAAATACATGTCTTTTGATGTTTGATTTTGATCTATTTATTTATTGAAATTTTGATTTAATCAAAACATAGGTTAATTGTATTACATTCAGAAATTTTGAAACAAAGTGTTTAAAAAATTTGTTTTTACAATTTTATAGTACGTTGAGGGCCACTAGTATTCGTCAAGTTAAAATTTATGGCAGCAAATAAGCAAGTAGTTTCTTGTTTATGTTTAACTGATTGTGATTATTTTAAGAACAAATAAATGTTAATTGTCACACTAGTTTTAAAATGTGTTTTATAACAAACTAGTATTAAGTCGCGTAACGTACTGTCGAACCACACTGTAGGAACAAATCACTGTTTAACGTAGAATTCGATAATGTGTGAGTTTTGTGCCGAATAATCTGTCGAAATAAACATGGAACACTTCGTAAATTTCATATGCACTATCGAACACTGTATTGTTTGAAGAAACTGTTAGGAACCGTAAGTTCGATATAATTATCGACCAAAATTTATCGTACGCCATTTCGGCGGTTGTAGTACTTTTTGTATGAATATGCAGGGTGTTTCAGAAAGACCTCCCGTAAATACAGGGGTAATAGTCATTACTAACTACAGTCACTAAAAAATCACTAAAATTTTTATTTAATGTTAATTAAAGTTTAAAACATTACTAAGAATGTATGCGTTATTTATGAGACATCCATCAATAAGTTTTGACATAAGCCTACTGGGAGAAAAGTCAATTATTTTATACACCGTAATATTGTAAGAGTTCAATTAAAAGCCTTTTTTCTCGAAAATCGTCTATATTAGGAAGTTCTAACAAGAGGACATTATTTTTAGAAAATAAAATTGTACTTTGGAAATTGGAGCTCGAATGGTAAAAAACCTAATCTTAAAAAAATGTGAACTTAAAATGTAATAACACTGTAACATAACTAGCGCCCTCTATGAAATATCCAAACAATAATAGACCAGCGGGTTTGGCAACATTAAAAACACCTGTACACCAAATTCCATAAAAATATTTCGCACCGTTTGAAAATTTTCGTAAAAATTCTATTTAAAAAATTTTATATTGTCGCTCTGTATCTCGAAAACAAGAGGAGATAGACATATAGTTCATAAGACAAAGAATTCTTATTTTTTGTCGTACTATCACCCCCTGTATTTACGAGAGGTCTTTCTGAAACACCCTGTATAAGCGAAGAACATGCTACGCTCCGTGTATTCATGCAATAAAATAATTTGTTTTAATCTTTTTATTTTGGCAATTCCTAACATTAAATTGTGATTTTTTTTTTAAATACAGATTTTAATAAAAACTATTCAGATTATTTCAATCCACTCAAATCTGAAGACAAAATTAATTTCTTATCTAAAAATTTGAATAAGTTGGTATTTGCGTTGAAGAACACTTTACAAATACCTGGACTATCAGAAAATTGCTAGATAATTAAAAATAAATGCGCAAAGTTGTAATGAGATTGTAGAAATCAGTAAGTATCTGTTTATCTTTAGCAACATCTGCAACTTTTATAAGTTTTTTTATTATAGGGTGGCCAAATGAAAATGAAACAGTGCCATTTTCAGGAACTGCGTCAATATTGTAGAAATACGCTCAGACCCGCGATTTTAGATTAAAGGGAGACATTCTTTGCCAGTATTTTTGACTCACTTTCACCCCCAAGCAAGGGTAAGCATCACCCCAAAATATTTAAATGGCATTGGGGGTTGAGTAATATTTCTTTTGAAAGCTCTTACAATTCTCTTTACAACATACTTTAAATTTTATAATTCCGCCCAATACTTTGAAAAAAATTACATTTTAAAATTTAAATTATGTTTAGTTGCTTACTTACTACTTAGTTGATTAAATGTTCAAACTGATGACCGCCCGCTTCCATACAAGAATATAGATTTTGTTCGAAACATTCGCGCACATTCCGAAGCATTTCCGGAGTGATTCGACGGCATTCGTCGACGATTCTTTGACGCAAATCTT